CATTTCATTCTTCATATTCGGCTCTATCTAATCAGAGTTAACACAACCCAAATGTTTATTTCTTATTCTGATAACCTACACAAAAGGCGTTCAGCAGTTGGGCCGATTTCCAGACCTAATTATCATTATTTCGGGATACCTCAACGGTACAAAATTTTCGACGCTATGAAAGGTTAGACCGAAGACCGTTATTAGGTTGTCTGATAAGACAGATCAATAGAATTCCAAGAAACCTATCTCGAAGCAAGTCACTTATCAACACTGGATCGTAACTAAGATGATGGTTTGTGACGATCGATTGGTTTCAAAGTGGTTTTTACTGGGACCTGACATAACTACGAGTACTGTTTGTCAATCAGACTATGTGCGATGGCCCTTATTATCAGACCTGTAAAAACTGCTTGTTGTTAATAGCTACTTTCGAGTAGTATATCTTTATGCGTAGAAATAAATGAAATAAAACCCCAGTATGAAGGAGTGGATGAAATTTATCTGAAACTGATCATGTGATAATTATAATTTACTTGGCATAGGGGTTCATATGCCAACAGAGGTCGAACAACTCGATCCAGTATACCAACGGAGAATTACAAGCATATTGACAAATAGTAATGATCATGTGATTATCGCGAAAACAGTCTACATGGTGCTACACAAGAATGGTCACAGATAGATACTTAGATATCCCCAACCAAAATCCATATTTCAATTAATAAACTTGTCTTTTGTATCCAACAAGAGCTATTAGTTACATCAAACTCAGCTTGTTTTTATTAAGTGGTGTGGAAATTTCTATTTCTCCCTTCGTTATCTTTTAAACTCTAACCTCTCTTGGTTACCTACTTAGACCTATTTAAATTTATAAATACAGCTCAACAAGTTCATTTATGATGAGACTATAACTAGTATAAAATATTATTTGAGGTGGAGTCCGGCAATGCTAATGTTTGAAAACTGAGGAGTGTCATAAATTGTTTAACTTTATTTCAAGTAACCGGTTTTTATGTCTGAGACATTATTATTATGTTATTAGTCCCTTGGGTTCCTAGTGGAACATAAGGCTTCAGTAGCACGTCTCCATTTCACTCTGTTCTCTGCAAACTTTTGAACCTGATTCCACAACTGCCCACAAGCTCTCATTTCTTCCTCGCACGATCTCCTCCATGTCACCCTCACCTCTAGGTTCACCATTATGGTTCATGAAATACAAACCATCATTGGGTTCCATCAACGACGGTGCAATACAAGAAATAACATTACAACTATGCCCGTCTCACAAGAAGTGGCTATCGTGGCTCAGTGGTGTATTGGATAACGCTCTCACGTTTGAAGCGATCGCACCGAGTCCGAATCCCGGTGGGAATAACATCACTCACTGGGAGGCAGGTACACCCAGCTGACGAGTCCCAAATAGGACTAAGTGCACATCTTGGATTCCACTGCTAGCCACTACCCATCATTACTATATATCATTCTTATTGTCAGAAGAATACAATTGTTACAACTTTACATATCATTTCTTATCATTTTCTCAAACCCAATGTGAATACTTACACCACTTCAACTTTTGATGGTGAATATCTGTGGAAACATAGATGAACGTTTTGTTCTGCTTGAGAACAGCTAGCTTCTTTTACTATAACTGCGTTAAGGTCCTTAACATCTACCGTCTAAAATAATTAAAAACCAGTTCCTTTCAAGACCAACTTGATCCTCACTGTAGAATGCATGTAGCCACTTCAGTTATCTATACTAAAATTCAGACTGAGTCACAGAAGAATGTATTCTCAAATATATGACGACTCCAGTTACAGCAGTGTAAATAGAGATAATTTTTTCCATGAGATGTTAATGTTCGCAAAAACAGTGGTTTTCGATAGTGGCTTGGTGTTCTCCGAGCTTCTGTACTGTAAAGTGGAAGTTACATCGTCAGACTTGATGATACCCTTATAACCAACTTCATAAAGAAGCGAAACATAGTAAAATGTTATGCGAATGTTTAGTTAGTCTTTTTGCTGAACTTGAATATTATTCATTTGTAAACTGGGAGGCAGATTTTTCCATGGTCACACTTATTCACAGTTTTTATTGGAGTAAGATTGTAATATTTGTTATTGTCACATAGTGCTTCATTATTGATTTTTCAGGGTGACTGGAATTGATTTATAGATGGCTGTTTCCTCCTAGTGTAGACTGGGTTCATATCCACACGTCGACTGATTGACTTTTCATTGGAATACGATACCTGGTGATGAAACGTCCACAACAAAGCATCAATGTTCAGAGAACACCAATTCGCCTTCATCCTCATTCTCAACTGCAAATATTTTTTATCATTTTGTCACTGATTTTCAGAGCGTAGAACTCCAATGCTATTCGAAAGGTTTTGAAGCCAAATGAATAATTAGTACAACTTATTTTTAAAGCAACAGTTTACATTTCCAGTTTCATCAGTCTTCTTCAGAATTATTATTATTATTTTTCCCTTGGGTTCCTAGTAGAACATAGGGCTACAGTAGCACGCCTCCATTGCACTCTCTTCTCTGAAATCTTTTGAATCACACTTTACGACTACCCACAAGCTCTCATTTCTTCCTCACATGATCTGCTCCATGTCACCCTCGCCTCAGATGCCCAACTCGGCCTTTCCCATTTGCATTCCACTCGAGGGCCTGGCCTGGCGCTTGTTGTCCCCATTCGGCCTTCTCAGTGTATGCCAAATACATTCCATCTCCACTTCCTTCTGCAAATTTGTTAGGTGATAGGTTGTTGGTTGGTTCGTTGCCAGCCAACCGGAGTTCCTTGTCCCATATTTTTATTATTCTGGCCATCTCATCTTCAGTATCGAGCCGGCGTAGGCGGCAGCTGTTGATAAATGTCTGTAGTTTGTTGGAAGAGCTTTTTGTGACGCGCAAAGTCTCTCAACTATATAGCAACACTGACTTGACATCGGTGTTGGAAATCTGGATCTTATTCACGCTTTATGCTGAGTGGAGTTCAGTAGATCTCCACACTGATTTAAGATTAATAAAAGCCTGTCTAGCTGTCTTTCCGATCCTGCTTTTGACATCCTCGTCTGTGCCTGTGCCGCTTGGAGTTGAAACGATGCTGCCTAGATAGGTGTAAGAGACAACTTCCTTTAGGTTTCTCCCGTTAATGGTGATTGGTGCTTGTTGCTGATGCTGTTGTTGATTGGGTATCTTCATCACCTCTGTCTTCCCTACATTTACTTGAAGTCCCGTCTTCGCTGCTTCAAGTGCTTCAGAATACTTACGCTTAAATTGCTCTGTTGATAAAAAATTGTTGACGTTGAATGCAGATTTTCTGAAATTCTGACAAAAAGTGATGATCTTTAAAGTCAGCAAAATCACAGGGAATAATAGACGAAGATGTACGATGATTAAACCACAATATGAGTGGAGAAAAATTTAGATAATGTTAGCCATATGGTTTTAACTCAATAGTTGAGTAGTAAAGTGGTTGTTGTAAAGCCTAATAGTTTTGACTATCTTAGCTGCAGATTAAGAATTAACAACCGTCCTAATGCAACAAAGCTTTTAGTTGATGACAGTTTCTAATGAAAGTGATCTTTAAACTGTTTATTTTCTTACGAACTAATCCTACAACAGGCGGAAACAACCATACAACATATGGGGTAAAGAGAACATGAGTTTAATTTGTTATTATTCACAGCGGCATAAGAGTAAAACATCGGCCAAGGCAGAAAGACATTACATCGTAGTGCAAACCGTTTGAGTGATGAGAATTAAGGACTAGGTGGGTGTATCGGTTACTATTTCGTGTGCATAGTCTAGTCCTACAGACCTCCAGATTGTGCTGCATTATCTTAATACTAAAGTCACTGACTTCACCATTTAGTGATTCAGGGTTTGCAAGCTATCTCATGGACAAATATGCCTTTCTGATGCGTCTCAATAAAGGAGAAACGTAGATTGAGTAGGATTTCCTGTTTCCCGACTTTCTAAATCTATGAGAAGAAAGATTCTAATTTTGCATGAAAAATATCATAAGATAAAGAAACTGATGTGAATAGAGTGACAAGATGGTCATCTTGACCATGCATCTGAGCAGATAAGGAATGAATACATCAGTAAAACTGTAACCGATTTTAGACAGCATCATTTATTGTCTCTGACAAACTTCATTCAGGTAGTTTGCCTTTCCAAACAGAGTTCAATTGAATAGTCAAGTTTCATAGTGTGGTCCAATTTCAGCATTGTCCTATTCAAGATTTTGTCGTAGGTGGAGAATAGCAACACCCTGTTACGTGTAACATGCATCCATACCAGTTCATTCACGGTACGTTTGTGACTTGCTCAGTTTAATCAACTTCTTTACTTGGGATTATAGTTTTAAAATTGTCCACATTTTGTTGATTTCACAGAATGAAGGGGTGTATTTTGTGGTCATATCTCTCCGTGTGATAAATATCTGGAAATCTTGTAAATTTTGAAAAATTTGCAACCAGCCAAGTAGGTTTGAAGTGGTAAAATGCTGACTCAACTAACCCCGTTTCACTCTTTACTCTTAAAAATGGTGGAATATCAGCCTAGTACTGTAGCACCATCACAGATGCAAATGCATGTAAAGTATTCTTAGATTTTCATCAAAAGTGTTCAAAATATTCCGCATATTGTAACTATTTATCTCAGTCTAGTGGAACTAATTTATCTGTGTACACTAGTTCAGTTGAATAATTTACTGAAACAAAAAAATTTCATATAAAGCTTCACATAAAGCTTCATTAGTGATTCTGTTAGGTGAACCAATTCCATTTACTCCAACTTTGTTCTTTGCACAGTTTAGCGTTGTTTACGTACTCAACTTGAGATTTTGATTCGAAAATGAATTATTAGGGTAAAGGTCGAATAAGTATTTGATGAGCGTGAAACTTGATGAAAATTGACGAGTTGAATGAAATGAACATATAAATATACAACTTGGATTTGACAGTCAACAAGTGGTATACAGTAAACAGTATGAAATTACCGTGGTTATTTTCACTGACTTTGTTCCTTGGTAAGAAACGATTCATCATTATAATTATCATTATTAATTGTCCCTTGGGTTCATAGTGGAACATACAGATTCAGTAGAATGCCGCCATTTCACTCTCTTCTCTGAAGTATCAAAAACCTAGCCCCATCATTGCCAACAACCTCTCACTTTTCACTCACACAATATCCTCAATGTCACCATCACCCTCATCCTCAACCTCACACGCACACGAACACCCGCAATTCGTCGTTTCCCATCTCAGTCCCACTCAATGGCCTGCTCTCACACCTGATATCCCCATACCATCTTCTCAGTCTACCTCATATCCAATCCAGACAATCCAGTCAATCCAATCCAATCCACCTCCACTTTCTCCACTGTCTTCTCCTGCATTTTTGTTAGGAGATAGGTTGTTGCTTGGTTTGTGGTCAGCCAGCCAACCAGATTTCCTTGTCCCATATTCTTATTATTCTGGTCATCTGAAGGTTCTTCAATATCGAGTGAGTGTAGGTGGCAGCTGTTGATGTAATGTATATGTCTGCAGTTTGTTCGAAATGCTATTCTCAACGAGTCAAGTCTCTCAACCATCACATGGAAACACTGACTTACTTGACTGACTTAGTGTTGCAAATCCAGGTGTTGTTCATGCTTTGTGCTGAGTGCGGTGTAGTGCAGTGTAGTGCAATGCAGTGCGGTGCAGTAGATCTCCACACTGATTATTTCCAATTGATGAAGAAGGGCCTGTCTTGCAGTCTTTCCAATTCTGGCTGCTTTGACATGCTCAGTTGTGCCGCTGCCACCACCACCTGTGGTTTAGACGCTGCTGCCCTTCCTAGGTAGGTGTGGGGTGGTTGGTAGACAGGTGTGTAGGTGTGTAGTTAGGTAGGTGTGGGGTGATAGGTAGGTAGGTAGGTAGGTGGGTAGGTGGGTAGGGACGGAGGGAGGGAGGGAAGTAGATGAAAGCGACAACTCTCGTCAGATTTCTCACATTCATGGCGCTGGTTGTCGTTTTTGTTGCTACTGGTTGGATATATTCATCACCTCTGTCTTCTACACCTCCTCCTGAATGAAGTCCCGTCTTCCTTCACCGTCCTGCCTCTTATGCCCACTTGTTAGTTTTCGCATGCTCATCTTCGAGTTCGTGTGACAAAAGATGTTAGACATAAATGATCATCGTTGGCGAAATCCAAATCTTCTTCTGGGGTCTTCTCATATTTCCAGCCAGCATATGCCCATCTCACAGTCTCTTGCATCTACCAGTCCAGTCTAATCCAGTCGCGTCGCGTCGCGTCGCGTCGAGTTGAGTTGAGTCGAGTCGACCACAATCAAGAAGATGATCAGTGACAGTGAGCGGCAACCTTGTCTTACTCCTGTACCCTATCTTCACTTCGCTTCAAAGGCATCACTGAGCTTTCCATTGTGAATCACTCTGCATGTAGCCTCATCATATAGCATATAGCTGCTGTTGAATGAGGTTGATGAAGATTTGTAGAACTCAAACCGTAGTGTGGTGTTGAAGCAGGAGCTGTTGAGTGACTTCTCGACGGATGCCTTTATGGAAGGCGTTTTTGAGGTCGATTAATTTGATGTACTGGTACTGTGGACTGCCACTCTATGCTATGTTCTGTGAAGATGCGTAGCGTTGAGTTGCTTGCAATTTGATTCACACATGATTTGTTTTTCATTTCTTTTGTTCCTACTCTTTGGTAACTAAGTTTCCCTCATTATCTTCCACTGGTTTCATCCATGTTGATCTCTTCCCAAATTAGTTACAATTGTTTACATGTCACTAAACTGTCCTAAACATAATTTTTCTCCATTTTAGCATTATTTGTACACAATTTGTCAGCCATTTCTTCATACCATCTTCAACGCCATAAAGTAAGTGATATAATTAAATTTTAGATGGAGTTATAATAGTGGTTTTGACTGATGAACTAGTTTACGAATTTGGTTATATTCACTGTTAGGCTTCCAAAAATATTGTGTGATAAGACCTCATTGTTAGACATGAAATTTTGTATCCGTTCATAGTTAAAGCTTACTTGTCTCTTCAGACGTGAACAAGGTGATGTCCATTTGAACACATTCGAAATGAACCTATTCCTAACTTGAAATGGAGATGATTTGCATTTTAGATAATCTAAAGCAATCGACAGGAAGCACTTTCCGCGCTTTTCAGCTCTCATCAATATGGTGTATTTGCAATTCTCACGGAACTTAGTCCTACAAACAGACACGTTACTAATGAACTATCTAGGCTTTGAAGATAGTATCCATGGAACCGGATTAGATATGTTGATTAATTACAGAAGTGAAACTGGAATGATGTCATCTTATCCGAAATACTGATCGGACTGCATCAATTTACATATCACAGATAATAAGTGTGGATTCGACTTAAACATTTTAATGATGTTGCTAATAACTCTCTCATATTATGAGGACTTGAGAACTTGTGTGAAAACTTTAAGACTCAAGATAATGTAGCTATCGGAACTGACACTTAAAAGTTATACTTCTAATTAAATGAAATTTGAAAGTAAGCATTTGCACGTGTATATGTATGATGTGACATGATTTGATCCTCAGTTTTAATTGAAGTCCAACAACAATGTGGTCACTGAATCACTTGTCTGAAAACACTTTCAACTAGTCCTGTTCTTCACTCACTTACTTTGTGACACCTATGCTAAAAATGGTTCTTCAGAACCAGTAAAATATTGCAGCTTTTGTTTCCAACACTGTACTATCACTTATTCTTGAAGTCAAAAATGAACTATTGAAGTTTTCAGGCTATGCCTGACCCTCTGTAGGAATGGAATATGTGAACGATTCAGCCATCAAATGGCTGCTGAATTTCATCTCCATATGGAAGTGCTAAGGAATAATCGAAGTCTATCGGTTAAGTTACACAGGAATAGCCTAGCTGAAAAATTTCCGGTTACAACATCTTTATTGCCTATTATCATTTGTCCCTTGGGTTCCTAATGGAACGTACAGATTCAGTAGAATGCCGCTATTTCACTCTCTCTTATGCAGTCTTTTCAAACTGATTCTATCACTGGCCACAAGCTCTCTTTCCCTACTCACACCACCTCCTCAATGTCACCGTCACACGCACAACTCGTCGTTCCCCATGTGAGTTCCACTCGATGGCCTGGCGTCAAGCGTGATGTCCTCATACCATCCTCTCAGTCTATTTCCGATCCAATCCAATCCACCTCCACTTTCTTCGGCACATTTGTTGGGTGATAGGTTCTTGGTTGATTCAGTCCCAGAGTTCCTTGTTGCTTGCTCTTCCTGGCCATCTGATCTGATCTTCAGTGTCGGGTGTGCGTAGGCGGCAGCTGTTGATGTGATGTGTGTCTGTTTTTTGTTGGAAATGCTTTTCGCAACGAGCCAAGTCTTTCAACCATCACACAGAAGCACTGATTTGACGTTGGCGTTGAAAATCTGGATCTCGTCCACGCTTGTTGCCGAGTGCAGTAGATCCGCACACTGGTTACAGGTTAATGAAGACCTGTCTTGCACTCTTCCCAATTCTGGCTGCTTTGACATCCTCATCTGAGCCACCTCCTGTGGTTGAAACGATGCTACTCTGCCTAGGGAGGTAGGTGAAGAGACTACTTCCTTCAGATTTCTCGCGTTGATGGTGATTGGTGCTTGTTGTTGTTGTTGCTGGTTGGATATCTGTCTTCTACACGTCCACCTGAATGAAGTCCCGTCTTCCTTCACTCTCCTGCCTCTTCTATCAACTTGTTGGTTTTCATCTGTAGATCTTCGAGTTTGTGTGACATGAGATATTGGAGGTAAATCATCATCGTTGGCGAAATCCAAATCTTCTTCTGGGGTCTTCTCATTTGTCAAACCAGCATATGCCAATCTTCTGTCTCCTCACGGTTTGCCGCATGATCCAGTCGAGTCAAATCGAGACGAGTCGAGTCGACCACAATCAGAAAGATGATGGATGGTAGTAGGTGGCAGCCTTGTCTTACTCCTGCCCCCTGTCTTCACTTCGAATGTGTCTCTGAGCTTTCCATTGTGAATCACTTGGCATGTGGCGTATTCATATAGTTGTTGAATACGATTAATAAAGGTTTATGGTGACTACAACATCTAGTCCCGGAAATTTCTATTGTTCAAAAGTTGATTAATTTCCTTCTGATTGCTGATACGCCTATCTAATGAGGTCGATAAAGCACTAAACTTAAGCGAAACACGGCTTCCTGCCAGTTAACTTTTAGTACTTAACAAAATAATACGGTACTCCACCTTACTGAATCACTAAGCCTAGAGAATAGAGATTATTTCACAAGCTGAACATTGCTAAGCACTTGAGATTTGACAGATACAGCAATTGCTAAACACTATCCACTCCTTTTACGCAATTCAAATATGTTTCAGAATCTTGAGCCAAACGTATAACTTCTGTAATGGTATTTTCAGGAGAAGATATTTTAAGAACAGTATGCATACTAAATGATTAGGTATAAGCGTTCAAAACGAATTTTCAGAATATTCAATCTATTCATCCTTATGTTTACTGACATAATATGTCAAAATGGATAGAGCCGAGTATGATTTTTATCAGATGTTTCAGACTGAATATCAGAGTATGATGTTTACATGGATTGCATAGTAACAATATAAAGATTTTAATATCGTTTCACTTAGATGAGTGGTTTAGTCGAGAAGGCTTCATTGTCATAAAAGACAAGATCATCAACTTCTTTTTGAATTTTATACTGATGATGTTGCTAAGAGTGACAATGAAAGCAATCGAACCATCATCTCAGAGAACACAACACCTTCAAAGTCATCCTCTTGAGCTACAAATACTCTCCGATATCTCAAAGCACTTTAAAAAACTGATCACAGAATAAGAAAGTAGCATAAATTTAGTAGGTTGTTTTTTTCAACTTCTAATAAACTTAAAAACAAGTATATCATGAAATCTGTGAAACTATGATTTCAATCTGGGATACTGAAAGACTTTTGTGAAGCTTACTAAAAGTATAAAATTGTAATGCCTACAGTCACATGCCATAACGAATATTCGTGTAAGGTTGACAAACAAAATTAAACCTTGATATTAAGTATTTTATCTCCCAGAGAATATTTGAAAAACGGTATAAACTTTATGGGTCTTTTGAGATCATAAACTGTACCTTCCACAGACAAAACCACGAAGTCTTTGCAAAACTCATCAAACTTCAGTCAGTTCTTTCTGTTTAGCTGAATTAATCTAATTCTGGTAAGTAATAAGAACTGTTCATCATTACTACCAAACTGAAACTATAGACAACATAGAGGTATCCGTGAATGAGATCATATACTAATAGAAACCAGTCAGTTCAGTCCAATCAACGAGGGGGGATTATAAGCAATAGCATCAAAACTATACCCCTTTGCACAAGAATTGGATATAGTTACTCAGTGGCTTAGTGGATAACTCTCTAAAGTTTGAAGTGATCAGTCTTGGGTTCGAGTCTTAGTTAGGACAGCACCCACTACGAGGTAGATACACCCAGCTGACAAGTCCCAAGTAGGACGAAACATGCGTCCTAGATTACACTGCTAGCCATTATCCATCACTAAAAGTATTAAAAACGTTTTTGGAATACTGAAAAACACTTGGTGTTTGGTATGAATGAAATTAAGTGGTCAAGGATCCATTATAATGAACGTGTGCAACGATTTTTTTTGTACGTTTGCATGATATAATCCGTCTTTACTCCTTAACTTACTTATATTCACCATTTCATTTTCACTAAAAATAGGACCATCGAAATGGAAGTCAACCAAATGTTTTTCGTAAGTATACTCTGTACTGGGTAATGAAGTAAAAATATTAATATATCTTGAAAAAATATTGAAAATCTTTCTAAAATATCTTTGAAGTTGTTATTGATCATATACTGACATGAGTTGGAGGAACAAATGAAACCTAGAAGCACTGGACAGCTGTTTCGTCCTAGTATGGAACTTCTCGGCGGTGAGCACCCATGACCTCCCTGAGGAGTCTTATACTAGGACGAAACAGCTGTCCAGTGCTCCCATATTTCCTTTATTCTTCCAACTGATGTCAGTCTACGATGAATAACAACTTGAAATATTTCTAAATCCCCACAACTTCCTCAAAATTCAATAAAATATCTTTGTATATGGATTTCATGCTAAGAAAATGTGCTGAAAGCTTGTCAAATGTATTGATGAAACTTATTAGAAAGGATTTGTTATTATTCCTTGAGAGATATGACTTACTTTTTTTGAGATATGTACAGTCACTTTCAGTTTACAAGTTTCAAAGAGAATAAACAAAATGTCAACCACTAAAATATCATTTTTCCATACTATTATTATTATTACTGAAGCTGATATACCGCAGTATATCTCTATACGAATCACACATTTATATCTAGATTAAAAAACGAAAGTCTATAATTTTGTATGATACTTGTAATTTCCTATCGCTATGCTGAGCAGAATTACTCAGTATTCGTTGACAGATAGGCTCCTACGCGATTGTTTCGATACTGCCAGATATTCATGATGTTATATTCATCTTGGTGACTAGCATTGGAATCCAGGGTACGCTTTTCGTCTTATTTAGGACTCGTCAGCTGAATGTGTTCTCATCCCAGCGGGTTTTATTGTTCCCACTAAGACTCGAAGCCATTACCAATTGCTTCAAAAAACAAAACCTTGTGCACTAGGCCATCTCTTGCGCAACGAGTATCATTTGTTGTTGTTTGACACTAGTTATTTCCAGTTGTTATGTAGGGCCGACAAGTCCCACATAAGACGACAAGCTCGCCCTGCATTCTACTGCTACACAGCAGGCAGAATAAAACCTTTATAATAGTCTGCATTTCGAAATAACGGTAACTCGTTAAAGGAACCGGACTAAACACACCTCGCTGATTATGTCTGATGTACTAAATACAAGTAAATATAAACAGGAAATTGATCATTTTCTTTTATTACTATTACTTGAGTCATGGTTTCTCGGTGGAACATACAGATTCAGTAGAATGCCGCCATTTCACTCTCTTCTCTGAAGTATCAAAAACCTAGCCCCATCATTGCCAACAACCTCTCACTTTTCACTCACACAATATCCTCAATGTCACCATCACCCTCATCCTCAACCTCACACGCACACGAACACCCGCAATTCGTCGTTTCCCATCTCAGTCCCACTCAATGGCCTGCTCTCACACCTGATATCCCCATACCATCTTCTCAGTCTACCTCATATCCAATCCAGACAATCCAGTCAATCCAATCCAATCCACCTCCACTTTCTCCACTGTCTTCTCCTGCATTTTTGTTAGGAGATAGGTTGTTGCTTGGTTTGTGGTCAGCCAGCCAACCAGATTTCCTTGTCCCATATTCTTATTATTCTGGTCATCTGAAGGTTCTTCAATATCGAGTGAGTGTAGGTGGCAGCTGTTGATGTAATGTATATGTCTGCAGTTTGTTCGAAATGCTATTCTCAACGAGTCAAGTCTCTCAACCATCACATGGAAACACTGACTTACTTGACTGACTTAGTGTTGCAAATCCAGGTGTTGTTCATGCTTTGTGCTGAGTGCGGTGTAGTGCAGTGTAGTGCAATGCAGTGCGGTGCAGTAGATCTCCACACTGATTATTTCCAATTGATGAAGAAGGGCCTGTCTTGCAGTCTTTCCAATTCTGGCTGCTTTGACATGCTCAGTTGTGCCGCTGCCACCACCACCTGTGGTTTAGACGCTGCTGCCCTTCCTAGGTAGGTGTGGGGTGGTTGGTAGACAGGTGTGTAGGTGTGTAGTTAGGTAGGTGTGGGGTGATAGGTAGGTAGGTAGGTAGGTGGGTAGGTGGGTAGGGACGGAGGGAGGGAGGGAAGTAGATGAAAGCGACAACTCTCGTCAGATTTCTCACATTCATGGCGCTGGTTGTCGTTTTTGTTGCTACTGGTTGGATATATTCATCACCTCTGTCTTCTACACCTCCTCCTGAATGAAGTCCCGTCTTCCTTCACCGTCCTGCCTCTTATGCCCACTTGTTAGTTTTCGCATGCTCATCTTCGAGTTCGTGTGACAAAAGATGTTAGACATAAATGATCATCGTTGGCGAAATCCAAATCTTCTTCTGGGGTCTTCTCATATTTCCAGCCAGCATATGCCCATCTCACAGTCTCTTGCATCTACCAGTCCAGTCTAATCCAGTCGCGTCGCGTCGCGTCGCGTCGAGTTGAGTTGAGTCGAGTCGACCACAATCAAGAAGATGATCAGTGACAGTGAGCGGCAACCTTGTCTTACTCCTGTACCCTATCTTCACTTCGCTTCAAAGGCATCACTGAGCTTTCCATTGTGAATCACTCTGCATGTAGCCTCATCATATAGCATATAGCTGCTGTTGAATGAGGTTGATGAAGATTTGTAGAACTCAAACCGTAGTGTGGTGTTGAAGCAGGAGCTGTTGAGTGACTTCTCGACGGATGCCTTTATGGAAGGCGTTTTTGAGGTCGATTAATTTGATGTACTGGTACTGTGGACTGCCATTCTATGCTATGTTCTTTGATGATGCGTATAGTAGCATCTTTTAGCCCAGTCAGTGTGATCTAGTCGTAATTTTGATTCAGGTGCACTTTTTAGTCTCTCCAAGGCTTTTCGTCATCACGACTTTGTTAATAAATTTGACAATATTCACTTAATACGCTCTCTGCCTGTATTTTTCCGCAGATCTGTACAGGAAAACAGCACTTAGGACATATCAAGAGAAGTACTAATAAGGGTTGCATTTTAATCTCAGTTACCGACTAAATGCACCGAACGTTACACTGGAAGATATAATAATAATAATTATAGCGCTAAGCTTATGTTACTTTAGCTTCCGGTATGAACTTGGGGATGAATACAAAATTGAGTTTAATTACGGTGGTGGTAGTTCAATCATTCAGTACAAAAGTCTTCAATTCCACATAGGTATCCTAAGAATAGACGCTGTATATTTGAGCATTTATATGTCCATTTCCATCTGGTGTAACATTTTTTCTTAATTTTGTCCTTAGCTTGAGAAACAACAGTTTGAGGACATTTCAAAAGGTTTGAGTATACGATACATTTAGTAGGTATATCTAAGAGTTGAAAACAAAAAAGAAGAATTTTCTGAAATATATCCAATGGAAAGCATTTTCGGTAGCTTAAGTTTTGAGCAGGGCACCAAAATCACAATTTAATAAGTGTTTAACAGTTGTGCAATAGTCTTCCATGTAATGGAATACAATCTTCACATCCTTTGTTACTCCCTCACTTTATAAACACAAATTCATGTTTGATAGCCTTAACTTTAAAAAATGAACTATTTTCATTATTTGATATCTATACATTGTAAACATGATACAAAATTAGCTTTTCAATTCTCACAATAGACTTTTTCCATTTCTACATACTTCATCGCTAGCCGGCCATGACCTCTCCTAACTGCTGTTTTCCTATTCAACTGTGATAAGAAAGTACAGAAAGAATCATTTTGCGAATAAATATCTTATTAATAGTGTAGAATAGTTAAGATAAGTAATAAAGAAACCGGTTTCCTATTTACAGATATTTAATACGTTGAATTTTGTCAAAATGGTGTGTGTATTCCAGTTACTACCAGACTCACAGAAGATGATTAACACTAACTGTACTTTGTTCAACAATTTTCAATCAGTATTTAAAATTTTCAATTGTAACTGTGGCATCGGTTAACTTTTATTGAAGAAAGAAGTGGTTCATTATTGCTAGCATCATTCGTTTATACAAAGTAAACTATAACATAGAAGTAGTATTCATCATGGACTGATATCAGTTAGGGAACCATTGAAATCTGGGAGCACTGGACAGCTGTCCCATCCTAGTTTGAGACTCCTCAACAGTACGCACCCACAACCCGGCTAGGGATCGAACCCAGGACCTTCAGGTTTCACGGCAAATGCGTCAACCATTCAGCCACTGGATCGGTTTCCAGTGGTTCACAACTTCCTCATTCAATCCCATTCATCTCCAAAAAAATACATTACAGTATAGTGCTCATTAGTGACTTGCTTCCAGATGGATATCATGAAGCTCTAATGAGAAGCTGTGACCTGTGCGGTCAACCAGTTGGATGTGAAGTGGATGCTAACTGAAGACCTTGGGTGACAGTCGCACTATGTCGTGAATTAACAGAAATTTGAAACTGTGAACCACTGGAAACCGATCCAGTGGCTGAATGGTTGACGCATTTGCCGTGAAACCTGAAGGTCCTGGGTTCGATCCCTAGCCGGGTTGTGGGTGCGTACTGTTGAGGAGTCTCAAACTAGGATGGGACAGCTGTCCAGTGCTCCCAGATTTTCAATGGTTCCCTAACTGATATCAGTCCATGATGAATACTACTTCTATGTTATAGTTTACTTTGTATAAACGAATGATGCTAGCAATAATGAACCACTTCTTTCTTCAATAAAAGTTAACCGATGCCACAGTTACAATTGAAAATTTTAAATACTGATTGAAAATTGTTGAACAAAGTACAATTAGTGTTAATCATCTTCTGTGAGTCTGGTAGTAACTGGAATACATACACCACTTGGACTAGGACGAAACAGCTGTCCAGTGCTCTCAGATTTTCAGTGGTTCCCCAAGTGATGTCAGTCCATGATGAATACCACTTCAGAATTAAAAATCCCCATTCATCTCAACAAAATACATAAACTAGAGTATGTTTGAGTAGAAGTTAGAATTTATCAGTTTTTTCACAGTTAATTACTTTTCCAGTTTTTTATTGTATAGCTCAATACGCATGTTGCTGCGCAATCGAGTTTTGGCTATAGCTTTCGATGTAACACCGTTATCAAGACAGCAAAGTAAAGATGTTAATTAGCTCGTATACATGTGCATATTTAATATACATTTTGAACTATAGTACTTCATTAACAAATAAAAAAGTTCATAAAATGTAGCATACATGTATAAGAAAGTATTCGTAATGTTTCGATTCAAATAGGCCTGGTATATGGATTTAACCAAAAGATAAGCGTTAAGAACAGTAAGTCTGCATAAGATTTATAATTTTAGAATAAGTGAGCCACAATTTAAAAGAACTAGATTATAAATCTAAACAATAGCAAGCTGTTAATAGAAGAAATACCATTGAGAAGTAATATAAATCCTATGAAAGATAATCAGAAGGGTTATCCCTTTAAGATATGCATAAAAATGTTATTAGATTTGAAGTGTTTAAAGTTAACCAGTGAGTCTCTTTTCAATGTTCATTTATTCACTTGATATGCTATGTAAAGGTTGTTTCATTAGCTGAATGTACAAAACCGAAAAAACAGTTTTCTCAGAGAAATGAAATGAAGAGTTTGGTTTACTAGTTTAAAATACTAGACCATGAAACAATATTGGATATTTTGTTTCCACGGTAGCCAATAGTCAGTACAGTGTCATTTGCTTTTTATCGTCTATGCATTCTGGAATGAAAATATACTACTGGCATAGAAGAAGGTGTTATTGACCCCCTTGCTTGAACTTTCCCTTTCTCTCTTTGTGAACATAAGTATAAATCTGACTGAGAACATGAAGTTCACTTAAATTCTTTCTTTTTTGAATAGAAAAATTCTGCAGAATGGAAGCTTTGAGCAGGATCTATGTGATAGAGGCTTTTGTATCACAAATACAAGATAGAGGGATATAATTCTGCCTATAACGTAGTGTAACAACAATAAGAAGGCGAATGTCATTTACTTGAATGAGCTCAGGAAGAGAAGATGAGTTGAACGTTTTGTAAATGACAAACGTTATCACAAAAGTAAGAATAAATCAGTGAATTATATAACTGGTAGTGGTTCAGAAAAATTATACAATTAAGTAAAGTCACTTCAGTTCATTTAGGCCTAAATACTTTATGTATAGTAATGATGGGCAGTGGCTAGCAGTGGAATACAGGATGCGCATTTCGTCCTATTTGGGACTCATCAGCTGAATGTACCTGTCTCCCAGTGAGTGATGTTGTTCTCATAGGGATTCGGACTCGGGAGCGATCGCTTCAAACGTGAGAGCGTTATACACACCACCAGGTACATCCAGCTGAGGAGTCGCAAATGGGACGAAATGCGCATCCTAGATTCCACTACTAGCCACTGCCCATCATTACTATACATAATTGAAACACAGACAATATCGAGGTATCCACATAAGAACCCATATGCTAACAAATACTGATCAATTCGGTCCAATCAACGACGGTGTAATACAAGCAATAACACTAAATACTTTAGTTAGTGAAGCAAACTTGCATAGATAACACTTCATGTAATCCCACCGATATTCGCAGCAGATATCTTGTAACCGGAGGGGGAATCAGTCTCCTTGGAGTCACAGCAAAACCTTACCGACAAGTGACAAAAAGTATGAAGCATTATTTGATTAGTCACTGGAAAGCAACCGATTTCATTTTGCCTGTGACTACCTAGGTAGAACGCTAGCCAGTGACCAATCAACCTATGTAATCCACTCCTACAGGAGGTTAGTCATCGCCTGGATAGCTCAGTGATGGCGTCTCTGACTGCAACACTTAGCGAAGCGGTTTCAAATCTCACAAGTGATACTGGCCCCCTTGAGGTTGCAGAAAAGCCCTGTTGGCGAGTGTTGACAAGCACGAAACCTGTGTTCAGGGATCCCTGCTGATTGTATCCAGCCAACTAACAGTAAGGAAACATCGTTCAATAGTTTCTATTTAATAGGTTTCTTGTTTATCTTGAAGATATAATCCCAAGTAAATTCGTTAGTGCATACCTGTTACCACACAGCATTGACTGGATGTCATATGTGTATGAAAACCATATGCCTTACTGAATACTTCCTTTAATCTATTTTAGAATGCATATCATGTAAATCTGGTACTCAAAAAGTTTTGGATGTTATTTTAAGTCCAGCTACAAAAATCACAGTCACTGAAAAAATCAAAATGCTCTGTCTGAAAACAGGACCGTTTTATAATTCGGTAAGCGATTTTTCTAATTTTTCTTATCATTTATTCGCTCATGTGTACATCTCATGATCATTCTTCATGCTTTTAAACTCTTGAAAGGAGTTTTTATTAGATACTAATCTATGGGGAATAAATCAGCGGTTAGTGGGTTTTTAAAAGTTATGATTATCAACATTTTACTAGTAGTAGTACAGTACATTTTCAAGGTCTGTAATTCTTTCTTGCGTAGTTTACATTGTTTTACAGTTTAATTTTGGAACACTTGAGAAATCGTAACCCCAGAAGTGTTCAACATGATTTTCGTCAGTATATTTTGTTTATCATTTGACTATCTGAGATAGCCGTAGTTTGGCAGACTAGTATTTGTAATAGGTGATGATTAAAGGTGAGATCTGAACAGCGACCAGTGGTCACTGGTTCGAATCCGGTCGTGGTCCAGATTTTCATCTCACCTTCAATCACCACTCGGTATATTTTGAGTCATTATGCTCTTCCATAGTGGTGTTCAACAATACGGCCTATGTTGCAGTGAGGATGACTTTGACCTTTCATGTGAACAAGATAGTTTTTAACCTACTTTTGCATATTTCTATAAATGATTTCGTGATGTTGCGTATTACGAAGCGATAGCTTCCAACATAGCTACTTTCTAGCCGTATAGTGACAATATTTTTAATATTGAACTTCAATTCCATGTGACAGTTAAGCATATTTCCAATAATTCCATTTCTCTGGATATTTGAAATACAAGGTTCTCGGTAAAGTTTCAGCGTCTTCTATAATCTAGTATACATGAATCTCACCTTTTGTTACACAACAGTAGCTATAAATCAACTGATTTAATGTTTGTCTGTCTAATTTCAGCCCGAAATGATCCTTTCCAACTACTAAATATCTGTTTGACTTAATTTTGATAAATTATTTGTTGCCACACGTTAGTAAGAGACACTAAATGAAAATTGTTTTACCTTATCAAAGCAATTCTCTTGGGTATGCGGCATGTAGCCTCTCTAAAAGGTTCCTGTAAACTATCTATTTGATCAAGGATATCAAGGATACCCTTCGATATTGGTTGGTTTTCATTAAATTAGAATAGATGTTGTCAAGTTAATCAATTCGTCTGTCGTTATCACTCGAAAAACAAATGTAAGGTTCATTTTGATAATTCAGAGTAAGTAAACAATATTAAAAACTTCGACTACAGTTTTGAGCAAACAATATTAAAAGTTGTATAAATTCGGTCTTTATGAACGGAAAAAAAAATGGTTGGGAGATATATTATATTATTATTTATCAATAGTCTCTTGGGTTCCTAGTAGAACATGCAGATTCAGTAGAATGCCGCCATTTCACTCTCTTCTCTGAAGTATCAAAAACCTAGCCCCATCATTGCCAACAACCTCTCACTTTTCACTCACACAATATCCTCAATGTCACCATCACCCTCATCCTCAACCTCACACGCACACGAACACCCGCAATTCGTCGTTTCCCATCTCAGTCCCACTCAATGGCCTGCTCTCACACCTGATATCCCCATACCATCTTCTCAGTCTACCTCATATCCAATCCAGACAATCCAGTCAATCCAATCCAATCCACCTCCACTTTCTCCACTGTCTTCTCCTGCATTTTTGTTAGGAGATAGGTTGTTGCTTGGTTTGTGGTCAGCCAGCCAACCAGATTTCCTTGTCCCATATTCTTATTATTCTGGTCATCTGAAGGTTCTTCAATATCGAGTGAGTGTAGGTGGCAGCTGTTGATGTAATGTATATGTCTGCAGTTTGTTCGAAATGCTATTCTCAACGAGTCAAGTCTCTCAACCATCACATGGAAACACTGACTTACTTGACTGACTTAGTGTTGCAAATCCAGGTGTTGTTCATGCTTTGTGCTGAGTGCGGTGTAGTGCAGTGTAGTGCAATGCAGTGCGGTGCAGTAGATCTCCACACTGATTATTTCCAATTGATGAAGAAGGGCCTGTCTTGCAATCTTTCCTATCCTAGCTGCTTCGACATGCTCATTTGTGCCGCCGCCACCACTGCGTGTGGTTTAGACGCTGCTGCCCTTCCTAGGTAGGTAGGCAGGTGTGTAGGTGTGTAGTTAGGTAGGTGTGGGGTGATAGGTGTGTGGGTGTGTAGGTGTGTGGTTAGGTAGGTGTGGTGTGGTAGTTAGGTAGGTGTGTAGGTGTGTAGGTAGATAGGTGTGTAGGCAGGCAGGAAGGAAGGGAGGGAAGTAGATGAAAGAGACAACTTCCTTCAGAATTTTTGCGTTCATGGTGACTGGTGCTTGTTGTTGTTGTTGTTACTTTTTGGATATCTTCATCACCTCTGTCTTCTCTTCATCCATTTGAAGGAATTCCCATCTTCCTTCACTGTCCTGTCTCTTATGCCCACTTGTTAATTTTCGCATGCTCATCTTCGAGTTTGTGCGACAAAAGATGTTAGACATAAATGATCATCGTTGGCGAAATCCTTATCTTCTTCCCTGGTCTTCTCATCAGTCAGAAAGCGTATGAGCATCTTCTTGTTGAATTTTGTTTATCACTTTTGAGTTCTCTCTGAGTTTACTGATATATTATGACTGAATATTACCCTATTTGCTTACTGATAGATGCGCTAGAGATATTGCATTGTTATATGTATACACCTATATCATGAAAAATGAACTCTAGCAACTAAAGATTTTCGTTACTATGTACAAAATTTTGAGTGCTGGGTTTATACACTCGTTCACTTCAATATTTCATATACTCACGATTTATATTTGCAGAGAAGCCACACTTCACAGTGAGTACTTTGCTATAATATTCTTCTTTATAGAAGTCATGAGTTAAAAGTACTGAAGAACTACAGAATATGATGAAATATATGTCTTGCATTTCTTGAATTAAACTGGTTGCCTAAATGATATGGAATTATGTCAAAGAAATTTTCATCATAGTTGAAGCACTGGAGCACAGCTGTCTCCTTTTTTATCTTCGAAACGCTCAGTAGTGGATATCTACGAAGTCAAGTAAAATCGAAACCAGGACTGTAAGGTTTCACGGCCACCAAGTAACTAGTCAGCCACCAGATGAGAATCCAGTGGCTCATATTTCTAAAATCCGTCAACTTGTGACTCATTGTGATACCACGGAATATCAATGGTGAGTGACTGATTTGATCGATATACATTTCGAAGCAATTTATTCGTGAGCGCTGGGTTCATAATCACACTAATTTTCTTGTCGATATGTGCTTAGAACTGTGAAATCAACCAACTCCTCAAAAACCCTAAATTGGACATTGAGTTTAGATGAAAACCGCATAAGTACATACATAAATTATTCCTCATATTAACTATTATTTGAAGAGCGTATAATGTGCAGTTTTCTCACTTATTTTCTAAAACATTTCAGTGCAACGATTTTGTTAGTGAACTTTCTGTTCACATTTTTGACGTTATGGGTAAACTGGAACCACAAAAGTGGTGTGCTGTAAGTTCATGATAACCTGGGGTTTTTGTCTATTCAAAAGCATATTCTTCATTTCTTGCCTGAGTGATTTATCAAGACCGTTTACGAAGTAGGCAGCTTATGACAGATTCGGTCAGTAGATAATCTGTGTGAATGTGAAAGACTAATCTAAATCACAAGATAATTTAAATCATTTATCATTTCAGAGCAGACCTTATACCTTAATAGATAAACTACTGAGCTCTTATCTGGATTTCACTCATTATTTTTAAGAACATCGTGATCCTGTATACAAGGTATTTGCTGAGCTTTAAGTATAGTAATGATGAATAGTGGCTACAAATAGAATCTAAGATGTGCGTTTTGTCCTGTTTGGGGCCCGTCAGTTGGATGTACCCGCCTCCCAGTGAGTGTTGTTCCCACCGGGATTCGAACTCGGGACAGATAGCTCCAAACGTCAGAGCGTTACCCACTAGACCGCCGATACACGACAGCTACTTCTTGGTCAGCGGGTATAGTTTTAGTATTATTTCCTGTATACATCCAGAAATTGAGTCCCAAGTAGGACGAAATGCTCATCCTGGATTCCACTGCCTACCACTATCCATCATTACTACAGGGTTGTTTTGACAACCTTACGGCCTCACAACTGCAAGTATTTCCTTATTTGTTGTCCATTGACTAATACAAACAACTTGATGGAGTCAATATTATATCTTTAGGCTTAGAGGTGTTCCATTTCACTTCAGAAAGCCCTAAATATTCAAGTGGGCACTTAAAGCGTAGGGGTAGACAGTAACTTCTTCATACGTCATTGAGGTTTAGTTTTATATCATCTACTATGTGGTAACGCGTTAGTTTTGACAACACATTTCATACTGTTTGTGACTTGTTTATTGAATGTGTTTGAATATATATGTTGTTGACCTAACTGACAGTCAATCCTGGCGCTTATCGCTTTATCACTCAATCAAAACAAAATTACTGGTTATCTTGAAGCATCTGCACAAATAGTTCATACATGAACATTAGCGTGTCGATTCAGTTTCAATAAATTCGAAACGAAAAAACCTTAATGACACGAAAACTTATTCCTTTTGTAGTGGGCGTTGCTGATGGATATAAGTAGAATATATTCAGAGGGCAGCAGGAACCATAGGGAAATACCACCAGTGGGTAAGAAGAGAAATGAATGAGACAAGGCGGACCTATTAAGAGTAAATCAAGATCGAATCAGAAGGGAAGTGAAGCATATTCTGCAAATGACTGTTGTAGTACAAGGTGTACCATATTTGATATTCATTCGAAGTTTGGCTACCTCCTCATTAAGGTTATCGACTCCTATTTTCCAGTTATTTACCTCTGGTGACTCCACCGCAGCCACTGCTATACCCATTAGCTGTATAATGACCTTGGCCAGCTCACTAATATCCATGGGCTGGGCTGCATTCAGTAGTCGTAGCTGCTGAGTGACGGCATTCAAGACACTTTTGATCAGTTGTGCAGCCAGTAACTGCCACTCGAGGTCTTCATCCAAAGTAGAAAGTGCTCGCTGAATTACTTTTGTCAACTTCACAGCCAATAACAGCGGATCTTTTTGTATTTGAAGTTTCGTGCTCCCGAACTGCTGCATTGCCAATTCCCTGTCCACTGCGCTGTCAGAGTTCACATCCAGTCGTTCAACTATCCTCTTTCAAGTCTCCGTACCATCCATGTGCCGCTTTCTCTCTGCTCCTCACCAACGTATCAAGCAACACGACCTTCGCTTCTGGATCCTAAACACCCACCAGTTCCGCGACCGACTCGAAGTCTCTGAGGAAGACCTCGGTGTCTCTATCGTGGAATACTATAGGCCATGGAATCTTCGTCACGTTCAGAAGCAACGACACCAATTGAAGAAAACGAGAAGACAGAAATGAAAGAAGGAATACCTATTATTGACATCGTATACAGTAGTTATCAAATATAGTACACCTCGCACTAAGACAGTCATTTGCATATTGTGCTTCATTTCCTCACATTGCCTCTTCGATTTCTCTCGGTAGAATTTGTGCCCATCATTGGTGATTGCCTATGATTTTTACCTCCCACTCAACATATATTTCTTGTATCTATTCTGATCAGCAACGCCGACTACACCATGACTCACTAGCAAAGCTCTCGCATTTGAGGTGAAGGTTGCTGAGTTCAGATTTCGCTGAGAACAGCAGAATAATCAGGTTTCAGACAATAAATTTTAGGTAGGATGAAATGTATGGTGTGATGCTCACTTAAATGCAATAAATCATCTACTTTCTTTTCGTATTTGTTGACTTAAATATCATGTAGTTGATGAAGAAGTTGATCAGATGTGGCGGAAAGTTCACAAACCTGAAGAAAGTTATACCTGGCACTATTAACTTATTAGATGTGGTTGATAACAGTTGTCTGGAACTAGAATAATAGATTCGTGAAAGGAACTTAATTACAACGCGATCGTGATGGAATAAGTGACTAAGTAACTATACCACAGACAGTGATCCACACTTATTTATATGGACCGATGAAAATACTTGGCTGCTCAAATCTCGGTAGATAGGGCGACAGTCGAACTCGTGACTTACCGGTAAATAGTAGAATCCTTAGACTTACGAGCAAAGGTATTCAACTAGTCACTGAGAATCACAAAAATTCAAGAAAGTTGTTTCACATTATTTTTAGCAGTAAAAGTAACATAAACCACTATAAAATCTTATTAAGACAGGAAACTCTTAGGATCCTCAACTTGTATGTGTGTACGTTGAGTTTTAAAGTGATTAGTTGTTATCAGTTCGGTCAGATTGCTAAGGGATATTGAGTGGTTGAAAGGGATAGGTAGGGAAAACTGACAACTTTTACAAATGAGTTAGCTCATATTCAAAGCATCAAAGCACATTCACTACTCAAATGGAAATTATTCTCAGCTACAGACTGCAATACACAATCAGAAACACTGACAATGAGGTTTGGAAAGTGCGAATAACCCCTTTTAGGACTGACTGAGTGGGATGCACTGACTTGCCACCGAGTAGAAAGTGACAAAATCAACGTAAAACATCGCATACAGGTGCATCGACTTAAGTTGCCACACGTCACAGTAGTACACAAAGAACAGGTGGGTAGAAAAGCAGACAAAGTAGTGTGAGATAATAAGCAGTCTGAAGATAATGGTTAGCAGAAATATTCAAGTTTTAGAGGATGTCAAGGGTCGAATATATCTGCGCCAGTGTGACGGATTTTCAACCATATCACCAAGAGTCCTCAACCACTGGTTCCTCTCGTCTCGGGAACCCCAACCAGGCAACCGACATCGCTTCACACGACTCAGATCACCAGCTGGAAACCTCATGGACTAGTGCCACGTCTTGGTATAGCCACCTTGAACCCTTTCCCAACTTATTCCAACCTTCTCCTAGCTTTGCACGTTGATTTAAGTGGCGGGTCGGCTGCACAGTACATGTCCAAGCCATCTCAGTCGACTAACGTTCATGACCCTAAAAATCAACTTGCCTAACTTGCCTAGTACCCTTGACTTAACTTGAACATTGCTCGCACACTGATTCCACTAAACGTGAGCAATCCTATGAAGACACCCTTGATCAAACCCTGTAATCGCGGCATGTCTTCGTCTTTTACCGGCCATATCTCACAGCCGTACAGGGGGACAGAGCGAACTGCTTTGCAGTATAACCATCCTTTGATAGATATTCAGATATGTCGCTTCCTTTAACCCTAACCATTAAAATGATTCGATCACTAACATTTTCACTGTAATCACCAAACCAGATAACTTGATATCAGAGTAAAATAAAGTCATCAGGTTACTCTGAACTAAAGTTTCTTGTATATGAAAAGTCTGACTGCATTTCTTTGTGGTTTGTTCAATAGTGTTCGGAGAGGAATCAGTCGTCCAAGATCACAGATAAGCATTGTTAGAAAGGGCTTAATAACACTAGTGTGATATGTTTTCGTGCAGATTACCATCTTAACATCCAACAAACAGTTAAATTGTTGCATTAGTACAAAAACCTTAAATTCGTACTGCTTAATATTATTATTACCCTTTTTTACCTGGCTCACTTTTTGATAACCTATGCTGAAATTAATTTCCCCTTTTTGGTGCTTTGTCATGAGCTGCTTCTAGCTTCAGCATCACTTTGCATGTTATTGTGATCGAAAATATTCGATAGTCAGGGATTTTGTTTTATTTTTCAATGATAGATGTACATATATGGTGAAAACCATAAAACTTTATCAGTAGCTATGAATAAACTCTAAAGGAAAACAGGTGGTCAGCACAGTATGCAAAATAAATGTTTCTCATCATTTAATTGATATCTATGTAAATGCTTTGATTTTGATACTCATTGGCGGATTCCAGTAATATTGTCCACCTGATGTTTGCGCAGAACGTCTAGTTTATGAAAAGAACTCATCGAAAGATCACCAGATAGTAACCGATATCATACAGTCATGATCTACGGTGGACATAACGATAAGCGATACGACTGACGACAGAACAATGACTTCTCAACTTGATATTCAACTGACACCACAAGAAGAAGATGGGATTCGAAGTATAATTACTTCAACCGAATAATAATGGCTGAAAACTCAGTTGTTTATATTTGCCTAGATGGCCTTGACTAGGGAAAACAAAATAGCATGTTAAAAGTGTAAAATGAACCAATCAGCGTTTAGTATTCTAAACTGGGATAAAAATAAATAACAGCATAGCGCAAAAAGGGCGCGAAAATAAGGTTTACATTTTACAATGATAATACAAACATTATAAGTTAGTTTTTCTTAGGGATTAGGTTTCCCTAAAATATACTGTAGCAGAGAGTTCATAAGATTGAATTTATCAAGTTATCCAATCTGTCTACTAACCCAAATACTGCCTTAACATATGAATTATTAAGCATTATCTCTTTCAGTAGTATACCATCACTTGATAACACGACTGAATAACGAAGAACAAGTGATGCGAATCAGTCTGAAACGTAAAATTTAAACAGGTGTACACTACTTTTGCAAGCTTCTGTCTAATTCAACAATGTCCTTGATATTTGTCTAAAACGCACTTTATTTTTTATTTCAGTTTCTTGGATTCTGTTATTACCCACCTAATGTACCAGGTGAGTGTGCAATGCTTAAAGTCACAATTAAGGGCTTATTCAGCTTACTACAACTTTCACTTCCTCTTTTTTTGGAAAAATGATATTATTAATATTCTGTTTAAAGTTTATGGCGATTTTGTACATTTCAGAGTTGGTATTAATCACAGACAGGCACCTCCAAATTAATTGTTGCAAATTCCTCTATAATGACATACTCCGAGATGGATATCCCAAGTTCTAGTGAGAAGCTATGAACTCTGTGCTAAAGCAATCGGAAAAGAAGCGGATGCCATCTGAACACCTTATTGGATAGTCACGCTATAATGCGGTTCAGCGAAAGCAGGAAACGTTGAACTGCTGAACTTCCGATCAATGGCTGAATGATTAACGCGTTCGCCAGAAGACCTAAATGTCCTAATTTCAATCTCTGGTGGCATCATAGGTGTACACTGCTGAGGGCTCTTATACTCGGACGAAACAGCTGTCCAGGGCTTTTCAATTTTCAGTGGTTCTCTGGATGATATTATCATTATTATTGAGGTTTAAATTAACAGTAACAAAAATAGGATTCCGCTGATAGATGAGGGAGAAACTTTAGCATTTACGCATATTTTTTGGTCACGGACTTGAAGATTCTGCTATCCTGAAGGATAGATATGAGCGAGAAACTCAGCAGTTGCTCATAGTCTTGCATTCACCATTGAATATCAAGTTTGTTGAATAACTCTGAAGAGCAGTTGCATTCTTCTGTGAATGAATTAAGTTTTAGTTAGACACCTAGTGTTCACAATGAGTCATAGCCTCCGGTGGAGCAGTCGTATAAGCAGTGAAGTGACTGCAAAATCTACGAACGTGGGGCGTTAAAGTGGAATTTGAATGTATGTGATTAAATAACGATACTAAGGGCATGAATAACGACTCCTCAACCCTAATTTCTCGTGCTTCACTGAGCCGTGAAATATTAGAAGATGAAGGCTATCGTATGAACGAGAGAAAGAGTTTTATTAACCAAAAATGTACAATGTGTACTATTTTCATGTACACAAAAAGATACTAACTGACAGATTAAATAACTTACTTTCAACGGTTGGCTGTAAATCAATCGTGACCACACATCAGTATAGATCAAAAACGTTTCCCCCAGTATCCATGGATTTAAAATGGCGATTTCTGTTTTTGGCAACTTCATGTCAAGAGGTAAGAAGGAACCATCTGTCTGTACTAGTAAGGTCACAGTTAACAAATGAACATTTGTAATAAATATCTGCTGTTATCCTTCATATACGTCTTGAAACTATTCCCCTCTACAAATTCAACAACTTTAAATCATTATCAAAACAAAACTTATCGAACTCTCTGACCAACAGCTTACAAATAGTGATAATTTTTGACTACAAGTCGTGACCGGTGGAGTCAAGCCTGATGGCCGTGAGGACAGATACTCAACGATGACATTGGGTGGCGGTTTGCACTATATCGTGAGCTAACAGAAGTTGGAAATATGGAGCATTGGATTCTGACCCAGTGGCTCAATGGTAACGCGCTGGTCGCGGAACCTGTAGGTCGCGGGTTCGATCCCTGCTGGTGGGGTCGTGGGTGCGCACTGCTGAGGAGTCCCATACTAGGACGAAACAGCTGTCCAGTGCTCCCAGGTTTCCTTTGTTCCTCCGACTGATGTCAGCCTTCGATGAATAACAACTTGAAATACAATTTTCTAACTTTTAATCAAGGTCATATTGTGGAATAAATGTACAAAGTAGTGATAAGTTACCTTCTGCATACATAATTGTGTAATTTCACTGAATATACCTCTGACTAGTATAAGAAGTTACAGACCCCTCACACCAATCAACAGTGCTAGCTAAGTAGATCAAAGTGATTTAAACACCAGAAACCTGTTTCACTCGTTTTGATTCTAGTTCATCAATGATAGACCACAATTAATTCAGCTCAGATAATCAAATTTTTCAAGATGCCGTAATTCTGACTGTTTCATACAATTTTAATTCTAGCAACACTTATAGTGTATAGCAGATCATATTGTTTCATTTGGATATTTTGGTTTCTATGAAAAACTATGATCAGGTTTCTTACCACACAGTATGTATTTTGCAGTCATATGATTTGATTCTCTACAATTTCATAACTAAAAGTATATTTAATCATTTGTATCTTAACATATTGTTAAATCAACAAGTGGGTGTGAGTAAATTGGTCAGTCTGTAAGTTTACAATAACCTTGAAAGATATTTTGTTCGTGATCAACAGTTAAATAATTCGATATGTTATGTTGGCCGGTAGGAAATAAACTGAAAGAAGGTTATGGATTGTAAAATGGTGATATTATATCATTTATCAAAGTTATTCAGTGTTTACCTGAATGGAGTTAGGAAATAGAGACTTCTGGCTATATTTCGTTGACAAGACAATAGTTAGCAATCACAGATATGTTAGATAACTTGATGTTCAGAAGAAACCATTGTTTCCATCAATCAACAAGTTGAATAGTATATAGTTAAAATGACACTTTTCTCTTAGTATTGCTCATTCTACTGACTTTCTATGTATATACATAGTATGTATAGTGTTAAAAGCTAGCAACTTGAACTGACAAACCACTGTAAGATATCTTATACTATTTAACATTATTCCAGTTGATCCACAAGTTCGAATCTTACATTTTAATGAAGATTAGCAATAATAATTACTCTGTAAAATAATTTCAAGACATTAACTTTAAGATTTTGGAACAATTAGCTCGCTTTATGAATCTTTATGAATCGTGTAATGTGTTTGTAAAGCATATTAATTCCTAACTCTGGTCATCCTTGTCATTTGCATTGATTTACTTGAAAATTAATTAAGTATTTAACCATTAAATAAACAAGAAAAAAGGCATCTGAGAAGACTAAATCTGAGGCTAAATAACACTAAAAACCAGTATGTAGAAGGTAATGCAACACTGCCGGTAGCTTAGAAACCATAAAACCGAAGAAAGTTTATTATGATTAGTAATAAAACCTTTTTAAAGAAACAAAGGCGGCTTGATAATTTCACTGTTGAAAACTCCAACAAATTGAAAAAAAAACATTTCTGAAAGCCTTTTTAAAATGAATTTAAATGGTGTATCCAGATGAATCTGATAATTCAATGAATTCATCATAGACTGATATCAATTAGAGGAGCACTGGAAATTTGGGAGCATTGTACAGCTGTTTTATCCTAGTATGGGACTTCTCAGCAATGTGCATCCTTGACCCCATCCAGCCAGAGATCGAACTCAGAACTTTCAGGTTCCATGGCGATCACGTTATCACTGAGCCAATGGGTCAGACCAAGTCGAATATGGAGGTCACGTGATATCATGAATTGACAGATGTAAGTAATATGGACCACTGGATCTCAAGCTAGTGGCTCAATGGTAACGTGCTGGCCACGAAACCTGAGGGTTCTGGGTTCGATCCCTGACCGGGTTAGGGTCGTGGACGCGCACTGTTGAGGAGTACCATACTAGGATGAAACAGCTTTCCATTACTCCCAGGTTTTCAATATCTGTGCAACTCATATTAGTCCATGTTGAATCCCAACCTAAATTAAGTAATAAATCTCCATGAACCCGAAGCTGATTACTCAATCCTGTGAGACCGTTAGTTAAATACGTTAATGTGTTCCTCCTACATAGATGCGATCACATGTAGGGAAAAACAACTATGTTCATTGAATATGACGTTACTGAATACTGGTCGGTTATTTTGTGGTAAACAGGATCACAACCGCTACATATGTAGAATGAACAATTTGCAAATGAATTGTAAATTGCACGGCACAAAATGATATTTCTCAAAGCTGAGTATTTTTTTAACTTCCACCCGACTGTGCCTATAATAGGGTTTCCGCTGGAAGCCACTCATCCATAAATACAAGGTGTGATCTCTAACACGAAACTGCCATGAACTGGTGAGATATACTACTACTGAACAACCTGAGTTGTCAGAAACTGCTCACAATGATCTGTAGTATTTCAGTAAACAGATCAGAGTTATCTTATCTAATCTGAGTACATCATTGATGAGCTCGGCCTCAAACAATCAAGACGGCTATACGCTGTTTAGATCACCGTGATCTGGCTGGCGAAATCCTACAGATCCGTCTAAGTGCTGAGTGTAACTACTCAAGTTGTTCAGTAGTAGTATTTTCTGCTACTCATATCTTTAAGACACTAGCGTTTGGTTTTTACTGATAAGCATATCTTCTATCAGAATAGCGTGAGAAATATGTCTCATTACTCTAACCGCTTTCTACTGACTATCAGATTTTGACGCATAGTTCACCCTCTCATCTAATGCTTAAAAATATCAATGTTATATTAATAGAGTTATGCTGAAATGGCGTCCGACTAAAGCTGATTTCTACTGAACTGAACAGAAGCTATAATATCCTGAATTCTGTACTGTCTGTTTAGTTGTTCTGTATTGATAATCAATATATGCAAAGAAGGCAAGCAATCATTTTTTTCTGTATTCTATACATCTGGAAGACATTTTCTTCTGCTTTTTATTCTACTAGTTTACGATCAAAATAAAATGACTTGAAAAATCTTTTATGGATAGGATATCATAAAGATATGTGATGGAGAAAGTTTTTTTCAACTAGTTTCTTCGCTAAGTTTTTCTGATGAAAATGAACCTTAGTCTTGTTCAAGACTAGCACCATCAATCTGATTGAAATGTTGCTCCTAAAATGTAAACTCCACATCGTTTTTGCAAAAATTAGTGATAATTTGAAGCCAGTCGTATTGAAAAGATGCACGGAAATACAACCTCATGCTGTCAAACGTTTTGATCAAGAGAACATTAGTGACAGACACATCAATGTATAACCTCACATAGAAGTGAATTGGTTTTAGTTACCACATCTCACAACAGCATAAAAAGAACAAGTGGATAGAAATAGTCTGATATCGAAGGAGACAGTAGTGGATGGGAGAAGAAAGAATTGAATATGCGTGCACTTTTAAAGATGTCATAAAGTGAATTCATCTTAGCAACTGCCACCGATTTTAAGCCCTTTAACTTAGTGTCTGCAACCATTGATCGTTATATCTTGAGGGCACCGAGTAGATGCTCATCGCATTGCTGCACACTTTAGATTAACTGTCAACAACTTCATGAATTGATCTCATGTCTTGATTTGACCCCACGTGGCTTTCTTCAAGCCCAGCTGTACTTTTTCTAACACTACATTTTGAGTTAGGGTGTGGCTCAGCATGCGCAGCATATGTCCAGGACATATTAGTCAGTGTAGGTTATCAACGTCATTGACTAACTCGCCTTCCTTGCTCAGTTCCTTGCACCTAGACGAAGAAATCAAGCTGGCATTAAATAAAACATGATTTCACTTTTTTAAATGTTTGCATGAGCATGGTTGGAGCAAACAGACATGAAATCTAGCAATTGTGAAATACATCAACGATATTCTGTAGCCCTACTAAGTCGTTCAGTCGAGACATTGACTAGTTATTAGACAGCAACCGACTTCGTGCAGTTTAGACCTGAATGGTGATTGAATCCTATCTAACGTTTTACAGTGTGGTCACCAAGTTAGGTACACTTCGATGGATGTTAGTTTGATGGACTCAATTGACAGAAAGCTCTAGTGTATCTCAATTTTCTGTTTACTGGCACTTGTCAGAAAGGCATTTTTGCTACTTCGAGTGAACTGATGTCTCATGAGATATTCAAACCCTTGTCGCTCAGCGTTATAGATGCGCTTCACAAACGAGTTCAAGAAAATAAAACCTAGGTTGGACAGGGCTTCCTGAGGATTCTCTTTCACCATCTAACATCATTCGAAATGAACTAATATAATGATTCTCCTAATATGATGGTTACATTGAAAAATAGTCGAAAGGATCTAATCAGCATTCAGGACTAGACGACATGAAATTGTTTGCTCTCAACTGATCAATCAAAACATCTAGTCCAGTCATAGAGCAAGCTAGTTCCTGGTGGAATGGCTCAGTAGTGACATCTCTGACTGCAGTACTAGGTGACTTCTGTTTGAACCTCTCAAAAGACATCACTTTCTTCCAGGCTGCGGATACGCGTTGCCAAGATATGCCAACAGTTGTGAAACCTAGGTCGAGAAAGACTTCCTGCCGATTATCGCCACTGAATTTACATGTTCAATCGATTGATGTTGTTAGTTTTATAATAAAACACAATTTCATTGCTAAAATGTTTTGTTTATATTCACATTTAAATATTTCATGAACTCATGTTATTTTTCTTATTATCTGTCTAACAGTAAAACATCCGACAATCAAATCAACAGCGTATAATATTATCACGTTCTTGTTACTTGACTATCAATTAAATATAAATAAACTTGAAGCTCAGGCTTAAATCCATGAGACATATTTTAGCTTACAGACTAACTGGTCCACTGGATGAATAGCACTGTTTATTAACTGCTAGACAGGAATAACATAGACTAACACTGAACCCACTTGGGCTTTTATTACACACCTGGAAGCATCTACAGGTGAAATTCAAGTCAGAAGAGTTTAAATTTCTATTTCCAACAGTTTTTTTCATGACAGAATTAATTTCAAGTTGCTTAGGATAGAAATATCAAAATATATTTCACTTGGAACTGACATTACCTAAGAAGTTACTAAAACTTGTTATTGTTAGATAATTGTTACGTCTCAGTTTTTGCCTACTTAGCAGTGAATATCCACAACCTTAAGAGTGTAAGAAAATAGTAAAGTTTGATCTCACAGGTAACACATCATCATTCAAGCACTTAGTTGTAAGCATACCGTTCACTGTAGTAGTTGGCGATAAGAAATAATAATCAGAAGCCAGAAAACGTGAGGTATTTGGTTTCAGTCCATTGCATGAATCCAATCAAGCTACTTTCATGATTCAACGGTTCTGGTTATGAAGGGGATCGGGGGTGATACGTGTTCACTGCTGAGAAGCCGTAAATCAAAATGGAAGGTCTGTCTGAAGATATCTTTCTTTCAGTATCTCTTCAATTTATGTCTATTCACGAATAAAACAACTCTTAAATTAGTCAGTTTATCAGGAAACTGCTGAATGAACAAATATGTCAGTTCACAGAACCCGTCAGTGTTCACATAAGTCAAATGGTAAAAACTTCTCAATTACACAGAAATAACATGATTGCTTAGGTTTGCAGAATAATAACGATAAATGTAAGTTTCATTCACTTGAAATCATTAAATCTTCTCAGTTTATCGACTCCACCAGTGAAAAACAAAATTTATTGGCTTAGGATGTGCGAATCATTAGCGCTACTCATTCTCAGACACGCGCCTTATTAGGTCATCATTATCTAAAGGCACTGTTTGATATTATGATGTTAATGTTATTATTATTATTATTATCACCTGCCCTTCGGGTTCCGAGTGGGACATATAGATTCAGTAGCAAATCGCCGTCACCATTTCACTCTCTCCTCTCCACTCTTAACAACCTGGATCCACCACTCCACCCAAACGCTTTCATTTCTTTCTCACACCATCTCCTCCTTGTCACCCTCAACCTCACACGCACAAATCGTTTCCCATTTAACTCCCACTCAAGGGCCTCGGACGGTACGTGATGTCACCAGATCGTCTTCTCACTTTATATCCAATCCAATCCATCTCCACTTTCCTCTGCATATCTGTTGGGCGATGGGTTCTCGGTTGGTTGATTCCCAGAGTTCCTTCTGGCTTGTTCTCATTATGCTAGCCATCCCATCTTCAGTATCGAGTGAGCGTAGATGTCAGATGTCGATGTGTTGTCTGTCTGTAGTTTGTTTAAAATGCTTTTCGTAACACACCAAGTCTCTCAATCATCACACAGAAGCACTGACTCACTTGACTGATATTAGTCTTGAGAATCCGGATATCGTTCACACTTGTTGCTGAGTGTAGTGCAGTGCAGTGCAGTGCAGTATAATGCAGTGCAGTGCAGTTGATCTCCACACTGATTATTTCAGATTAATCAAGGAAGACCTGTCTTGCTGTCTTTCCAATTCTGGTTGTTTTGACGTCCTCATTTGTGCGTGTGCCGCTGTGCTAGTTGAAACCATGGTGTCTTGACTGTGTAGGTGTAAGAGACTACTTCGTTTAGGTTCCTCTCGTTGATGGTAATTGGTGCTTGTTGTTGTTATAGCAGTGTTGATATTCAGCTGTTCATTACATGAATATACACTTAGTTGATGATTGGTGATATTGTAAAACTACTGAACCGCTGTTGTAAACGAAAAATTCCTTCAAAAAAACAATTCAATGTGCAGTTATTCATTAACATTTTAAAGAAGCTATTTGATTGTATCGATATTTTAATAGTATACAAAGCTGAACAAGAGAAAATATACTTAATTGTTCAACACAGAATGACGTTGGTGAATCGTAAAATCAAAGATTATTACTCTTCTAAGTTTTATAGAATAAGCAAAATGATTTGTTGGAACACATGTGAAGCATGTGGTTTAAGTACCATCACCTTAACCGAATGCATGCGATCAATCACTTAATCATAAAAGGATCTTCTGGAACACACCTAAGTCTGAGATATTAGTGAACCAGCTTTCCGATACACTTATATTCTCTGGTGTTAACCGATAAAACTGAAGTATGGTGGTAATTCTAGGTATAAACATTGGTATAGTGATGATATCTGGATTGACAGAAACTCACAACTCTGGAATAAAATGCAGCACAGATGTCTACTTTCTAAACAATTTAGGTAGTGAAATTAGGTTATTACTTTTCATTTACTATTTCACTGACTCAAAATTATTCCTTAATTATCATCATAACCTCCTTGAAAAATTGTGACTTCTGAAGTTGACTGATTCATATAAAGTGGTAATATCTCTTAAATGTGTCAAACTGAACCACAATAGAGAGATAACACCTCTGTAAAGGAAAAGTATATGATTTAAAGATAATTAATTGTATCCCGTGGTTTAAATTAACTTTTTTAGCTTAACTTTAAGATGCATTGTCATCTTTTATCAAGACTGTTCTACAAACTGATGTAAGATAACTTTTACTCAACTCCTGACATGATGTGTTACCTCTATTCTCCCACTGTTATCTAGTCTGCGAATATTGCTGTAAAACTGGACAACTTATAAAGTCAATGCTGTTAGCAGAAAAATTCACTGAAGGATTATACAATAACACATTGGCTATGTGTAATTATGTACCTATATACTCTTTTTTGTAAGTTATATTATTAAACTATAAATGTTGATTTTTTTTTTAGTGTGTAGCAACTTGCATTGTTGACTGTTAAACATTGGTTAGATTTATTTAAATACTTCCACATTGATAGTAGATGGCTCTTTCATTTTAAAATTCTGTATAATATTTGTGTTTTTAGCGAAAAATTGACAAACATTTAGCAGGATTGTCATAACTTACTGAAGGACTTAGCTTTTCAAGCTCTAGAGCTTTACCCACTGGACCATCAAGTTGTGATAGTCACTTTTTGTGCGACAGGTCTATTCATTGATGGGATAATACAGGAAACAACATAAAATGTAAGTAGTTAGTAGGTAGTATGCTTGACACTGGGTTGCATGTTGACATACACGACCGATTTGTCAATTCCTGGGCCTTTTTTCAGTATATACTTGAGTCTTCACACATATTTTGGGTTATATTGAAGTATCTTTCGTTAACTTCTTTATCGAGTTAGTTGGTGCGGGGATCAAATTATATTAACTGATAGGTATCTTCGATCATTCATGTTAGAAAAGGCAAGGTTTCCATTCATATCAGTCGACTAGAAGGCGAAAATGCTGTTTTTCAACCAAGAAAGAAGTTTACTGTTTCATATATCATGGCACCCAACTTGAAAACTCTTAAATGATCATAGTGATAACAGAGGCCACCATATTTAGAGATGGTAACTATCTCATACTTAATCAAACAATAAAAATTTTCATTCTCAACTCTTGTTTATGCCCACTTAGGAATTCCTTCGTAGTCTAAGTGAATCGTAGAAAAATCTTTCCTGAATCGCACTGAAATAATGTAAACTTGTTATACGCCTCATTGACAATGCATAACTATAATAAAATTTGAGTTTTCCTCCTATTAGGCTAGTAATTGAACAGAAGACGTGATGATTACCTTCACAATCTATAAATGATGAGTTAATACATGTGTGAATAAAAAAATTAAAATACAAAGAATGGCAATTTGATAACAAAACTGTTGCAGGCTAGAGAATAAGAAGCATGCTTCGTATTTCAATGGTTGTTCCCTCTCAAAAGTCAGTTTACAATACCATAACTGACAGGTACAAAAGTAAGCAGACAAAAAAAGTTACAAAAGAATACTATTAAATGATTCTTTATATAGGGGATTAAGCAGTGAGTATACGAAATAACATCATCATCAATTCCTAAAACTAGATCCATCAAATTTTAGATTTCAAATGATATTCCAAACGTAGAACATAAACTATAAACAGAAACTTCTCCAAAATTTCTTTCATGGTGTATAAGAGATATCAAATTCACAGGTTACAAAAATCAATGTACATTGAAGTTTATTGGAATTATATTTTCATGGTAATGAGGATGAACACTTTACCTCAAATACATCTACCTCGAAAAAGTCTTCAAAAGCGTCGACCGAAAAGTTATTTAGCACCTGCTACTTAAACACTACGATTTGAGTGCCAAAAACCTACACCAACCTCATTCAAGATATATATGAAAAAACCACATGCAAAGTGATCCACAATGCAAAGCTCAATGACGCCTTTGAAATGAAGGCAGCGAAAAGAAAAGGCTGCCGCCTACTATCAACAATCATCTTCCTGAGTGTGATCGACCCAACTCGACTAGAATGGATCATGCAGCAAACCGTGAGGAGCGAGAAGATGGGCATAAACTGTCTGGACCCATGGAAAAGACCCCAGAAGGAGATCTGGATTTCACCAACGATGATGTTTATGTCCAACATCACACAAACTCGAAGATCTACAGGCGGAAACCAACAAGTTGACAGAAGAGGCAAGGCAGTGAGGTGGGACAAGACTTCATTCAGTGAACATAGAGAAGACAGAGGTGATGAAGATACACAACCAACAACAACTACTACAAGTAAAACAAGCACCAATCACCATCAACGAGAGGAACCTAAACGAAGTAGTCTCTTACACCTACACAGTCAAGACACCATGGTTTCAACTAGCACAGGCGGCACACGCACAAATGAGGACGTCAAAACAACCAGAATTGGAAAGACAGCAAGACAGGTCTTCCTTGATTAATCTGAAATAATCAGTGTGGAGATCAACTGCACTGCACTGCATTATACTGCACTGCACTGCACTGCACTGCACTGCACTGCACTGCACTGCACTGCACTGCACTGCATTGCACTACACTCAGCAACAAGTGTGAACGATATCCGGATTCTCAAGACTAATATCAGTCAAGTGAGTCAGTGCTTCTGTGTGATGATTGAGAGACTTGGTGTGTTACGAAAAGCATTTTAAACAAACTACAGACATACACCACATCGACATCTGACATCTACGCTCACTCGATACTGAAGATCTGTCAGATGCCCAGCACACAAATAATAAGCAACGAATATCTCTGGTCGGGCAACAAAACAACCAAGCAACCAACCAAGAATCCACTGCTCAACAAATATGTTGGAGAAGAAAGTGGAGATGGATTGGAAATAAAGTGAGAAGACGATTTGGTGACATCATGTGCCAGGTCAGGCCAGACCATGCTGACGAGTGGAAGTTAAATGGGAAACGATTTGTGCGTGTGAGGGTGAGGGTGACAAGGAGGAGATGGTGTGAGAAAGAAATGAAAGCTTGTTGGGAGGGTGGATCCAGGTTGTTAAGAGTGGAGAGGAGAGAGTGGAATGGTGATTGCGACGTGCTACTGAATCCGTATTTTCCACTGGGAACTCAATATAAAAATGTAATAATAATAATAATAATAATAATAATAATAATAATAATAATAATAATAATAATGGTAATAAGAGTAATATTACGGTCAGTGATTTCAAAGATTATGAGGCAAACTGTTAACTCATTAAAAATATCATTTACGATATTCGGATCGAAAACGGACTAAATACATTCGGTAATTGGCTTTTAGCTGATTTCAGAAACTGAGTGGATATAAATGAGTGGAGAGACTGGAGAAGAGAGAGTAGAATGGGGATTGCGACGTGCTGCTGAATCTGCATGTTCGACTAGTAACACGAGGGACAAATAATATGATAATGAAGTGGATCATGGACTGACATCAGTTGCAGAACTACTGAAATCCCCACTATGAATCGAACTTAGGACATCTAGATCCCTAAGCACTGTCATAACCTCAGAGTCATTTACTCGGATCGACTGGTTGATGTCACAGGTCACTGCTTCTCTAGAACTTAGAGATATCCAAGTCGGATCATGTTCTTAATAAGCACTTTTCATTAATATATCTAGACGTTAATGAGGATTTTATTTTCAAGGTTGTCATTTCCTAGAAAAATTTATGTAAGGAATTTCTGCAACTTTTCGTGCAGTTAAGCTGCTATGTCAACACAGAATGTAGCACAGAAGCATACTTCTTGACATTAAATAATATCAACCTTGTCATTCCTTAAGTACAAAAACATGAGCAAGTAGTGAGTTATACTAAAACGATAGGAGTTAAAAATAATAAGACATACTAGATATTTCAAATACAGCAGTATATTGTCAAGGAAAATAGTGTTATGATGCGACATTAGCTTCCAGTACAAAGTGTTACTATATTTATTTCCAACTCATGGGAATTTAGTAATCAGATTAACTGTTATTTCAAAAATAGTAAAAGATTTAGCATCATTTTAACACTTTTCGAGTAACATTATTGAAGCATTTTACAATTTGTGTTTTAATACGATAAGTTAAGAAAAAATGCCTTATTCAATGGAATCAATGGTTCTTGTCTCCTGGCTTTCATTCAAAATAGCTTCCACTGAAGTTTAACAAATTCACTGTACATCCGGATGGACTGATTTAGACTAGTTTAGTGTTCATAACTATTATAATCTAGTCATTTGATTTTAGGTAATAGGGATATTTCAAAGTAAGTAGACTATATTCAAAAAAGTGGTGGAGTTATAATTGCTTGACATTAAGATTTTACAAGTTGATTAATATCCAGGACTATTTAACTTTTCAGGAACAGTATAGGTACAATATCATTTATGTTATTAAAACTTGTTCCAGCTTATTATTTACGGATTTATATGTTCACCCTTTTTTTAATACTTTACAGTGCGGTCCACTTTTGCATGATTATTTATGGCTGTGACGTTAAGCTTTAACAAGCAGTTTCTAGTTCAGAGATTCTGTCAGGTAATATATTGAAGAGTAGATTTTTTATGCAAGTGTATAAATATTTTTTCCTAATCATATTTTATGTATACCTTGCAGAAATATGAGACTGATGAAAGAGTAAAGTTAATTTTCGCTCATTTCTTAGAATAGTGGAAATTATTTGCATTACTTATCTGCATCTTAGAGGAAACTAGTTTCCCTTCAAAGACAGTCCACAGACTTCAAGCTTGTATTATATTTTAGCTCATATCTGGGGAAAGGCTATCTATCTGGCAAATAACAATCATAGCTTTACTACTACATACTCTGAAGTGTATTTTAACTTAATGAAAACTATCTATGTTTAATGATATTATTGATTTCCATAAGTAAGGCACAGTTGTAGTCTTCATTAAGCCATTACTTTAAAAATCAAATATGAACTAAGGTGAGATAACGCAGTATATCACTACATTTAACCATCATACTGAACAGTAGGATTGTTGGACAAGAATGAACATTCAGGATTCGAACGAAGCAGAACCTAACAATCTGGCTAAAATCCATACTGAGTGATGTGATCATGATTATTAAAATAAATTTCATAAGAGATGAGTCATCCAACTTGTATCAGTGGAGAATAAATTTAACAGCTAGACATCAGAGAAAGCGAAAGAAGGCATTCCTCTGGAGTTTATTGTGAAATCAGATATGCGGTTTACAGTCCAGTGAAATTAAATAAAATGAACTAGGGACAATGGGTATTTGATTGAGTGACTTAAAAGGCCAACCTGGAAACCGCTGAGATAGCCAATCACGTTTCAGTATTTTGTGAGGAGTTATCTTTCTGACTAGAGTAACAAAACCTGACTCACCAGTTGTGTAGACGGCCTTTAAAGTCACCCAAGTAATTGGTTATCTCAGTAGCTGCTAGAGTGCCATTTATAGTTACCTGTCATATTAACGGTTTCTAGTGTGGTCTTCAAAGTCGGTCAACCTCATTGACTTTAAGAGGTACTTTAACGGCTACCCCACCAACAACTGAAATAACAGGCTAACTTAAAGACTACCCTGGAAACGATCGAAATAATCAACTACTTCCCTTAGTTTTGCCTGGAAAAACAGATTTTCATAAAACACACGAATCTGATTGGTTAAAAGGGTGTTAAAAGGGTGGCCATTAAAGTCATTGCATTTAAATGAGCGACTTTAAAGGCCGCCATAGTAACTACTAAGGGAGCCAATCAGATTCCCGTATTTACACTGTGAAGGTAATATGTTATAAAATAAAGGAAGGTGATTCGTTATCTCAGCATTTGTAAGGGTGGCCTTTGAAGTCACTCATTTATATCGCTTCAGTTTCTGAAATCAGCTAAAGCCAATTACCGAACGTATTTAGTCCGTTTTCGATCCGAATATCGTAAATGATATTTTTAATGAGTTAACAGTTTGCCTCATAATCTTTGAAATCACTGACCGTAATATTACTCTTATTACCATTATTATTATTATTATTATTATTATTATTATTATTATTATTATTACATTTTTATATTGAGTTCCCAGTGGAAAATACGGATTCAGTAGCACGTCGCAATCACCATTCCACTCTCTCCTCTCCACTCTTAACAACCTGGATCCACCCCTCCCAACAAGCTTTCATTTCTTTCTCACACCATCTCCTCCTTGTCACCCTCACCCTCACACGCACAAATCGTTTCCCATTTAACTTCCACTCGTCAGCATGGTCTGGCCTGACCTGGCACATGATGTCACCAAATCGTCTTCTCACTTTATTTCCAATCCATCTCCACTTTCTTCTCCAACATATTTGTTGAGCAGTGGATTCTTGGTTGGTTGCTTGGTTGTTTTGTTGCCCGACCAGAGATATTCGTTGCTTATTATTTGTGTGCTGGGCATCTGACAGATCTTCAGTATCGAGTGAGCGTAGATGTCAGATGTCGATGTGGTGTATGTCTGTAGTTTGTTTAAAATGCTTTTCGTAACACACCAAGTCTCTCAATCATCACACAGAAGCACTGACTCACTTGACTGATATTAGTCTTGAGAATCCGGATATCGTTCACACTTGTTGCTGAGTGTAGTGCAATGCAGTGCAGTGCAGTGCAGTGCAGTGCAGTGCAGTGCAGTGCAGTGCAGTGCAGTGCAGTGCAGTATAATGCAGTGCAGTGCAGTTGATCTCCACACTGATTATTTCAGATTAATCAAGGAAGACCTGTCTTGCTGTCTTTCCAATTCTGGTTGTTTTGACGTCCTCATTTGTGCGTGTGCCGCCTGTGCTAGTTGAAACCATGGTGTCTTGACTGTGTAGGTGTAAGAGACTACTTCGTTTAGGTTCCTCTCGTTGATGGTGATTGGTGCTTGTTTTACTTGTAGTAGTTGTTGTTGGTTGTGTATCTTCATCACCTCTGTCTTCTCTATGTTCACTGAATGAAGTCTTGTCCCACCTCACTGCCTTGCCTCTTCTGTCAACTTGTTGGTTTCCGCCTGTAGATCTTCGAGTTTGTGTGATGTTGGACATAAACATCATCGTTGGTGAAATCCAGATCTCCTTCTGGGGTCTTTTCCATGGGTCCAGACAGTTTATGCCCATCTTCTCGCTCCTCACGGTTTGCTGCATGATCCATTCTAGTCGAGTTGGGTCGATCACACTCAGGAAGATGATTGTTGATAGTAGGCGGCAGCCTTTTCTTTTCGCTGCCTTCATTTCAAAGGCGTCATTGAGCTTTGCATTGTGGATCACTTTGCATGTGGTTTTTTCATATATATCTTGAATGAGGTTGGTGTAGGTTTTTGGCACTCAAATCGTAGTGTTTAAGTAGCAGGTGCTAAATAACTTTTCGGTCGACTCTATTGAAGACGTTTTCCAGGTCGTTGAAATTGATGTATTGTTGATTTGGCCTGTCATTTTACGCTCTTCCTCATGATGATATCTATGTTTTGCGCTGAAATATGATCCAAAAATGGTTTCTTCTTCCTGATGTTACCCAGGCAGCCAGCTTCCTCCGATCATAACTTTGAATCGAGAGCAGTTTGTAGTCTCTCCAAGATGGTGCGGTAAAATATTTTGCTTGTGGTGGTCAGGGTTGTAGCGTGCATACGCGCGAGTTCTGGCATAGACTTAGGTCTCTCTTGTTTGGAAATTTGACAATGTCGCCCTACTTCCAATCAATCGGCTGTACATTTCCTTCATTTCTTATTACCAAACCATTTGCAGTGGTGGTGTGAACGTGTCCGCTGTTGACTCTGCGTCTGTTTCTGGGTTTCTGGCGGAATGCCATCTCGTCATGCAGCATTCCGGATTTCAGAAGCTTTATGGCGTTCACAACTTCTGCTTTTGTCGCAGACCTTGTGTTCACTGGTAATTCTGTGGCTCCGTTGCTGCTGTTGTTTGTGGACCAGTTGCAGGTGTTGGTGTTGGCGGTGGTGGTAGTCGACTCAAGAGTTTTGCTGTAGTCAGTTCATGGTTTCCCTTGTTTTCCCTCTTCGGCGGTCACTGAGTTTCCCTCACTATCCTTCAATGATTTTGTCTGCGTTGATCTCTTCCCACTCAGATAGTAACCTGGTTATGTGGTACAGTGTTGTCATGTCTCTCCCACCAGAAGCCTGTTCCACTTCATTTACCAATGTGTCGTAGAACTGTCTCTCGTCTTCATGTGCACTCTTCTTCACTCCCTCGTACAGTGTAGTGGTTTATAGGTCGTACTCAGGTCCTCTTTTCGTTCTTCATCCCTGCCTGCACTGTACTGGTTCATGTTATACTTCACCGTCTTCCCCTACCCCCCCACCCCTCTATCAGCTTACATGTGTCCATCGAGATCCATTCCTTGTCTCCCCTCTTCTTCTTCCTAACTAACACAGTTGTGCAGGTTTCTTTCCACACAGCTTCCAAACGGTTCCAGCGTCATTCCATGCAGATTTCTTCACAGATGTTGCCTTATGTCTCCCATTTTCTCCTGATGACTGACCGACTGACGTGAAGGTGTCATTCGGAGTTTCGTCACTCAGTTCAGTTTCTGTTCCGTATGCTCAACTTCAACTGTGATCTATCATCATCAACTTCTTTGAAGGCATTCAAATTGATTTGGAAAGTAGGTTCCTTGCACTAGATAGTGAGTGATGTGAACACTCATCTGCTCCTCTTCTTCATCTGATCTTGTGTCCAATAGGCTGCGTCTCCACTTTCTTCACGTCGAGATGAAGTCGATCTGAATTTTAGTGTAGTGTATCTGGTGTCTGATGAAATCAAATTCATGTTGCTTTGTGAATATTCTTGTGTTTGTACATACTGCTTCCAGTCACCAAATCATTGAATACGCGGAAATTCATAAACAGTTCTCCGTATGAATATGATAAATACTAATTAAATCGATTCATATGAGTGGCATACACTTTAATATCAATGCTACAACTACTATTATTGCTACTGTCGTTCAAAAATCTACTGATATTCATCATCATTCATGATTAACTTATAGTTACATACCATGAAGAGGCCTTTGTTCAAGTACTTGCTATGATAACATTGTCTGATCAGTCCGGCTTGAAAATCGAAAACAGCGAATATTAACTAATATCTACTGGACAAGAAAATTCGCCTGGTTAACTAGTTCACTACTTACTATCCTATTTTAAGACCGGATAAAGAGGGAAGGCTGGGCATAGGGTTAGCAACCCTACCCCGAAAAATAATCTAACAGCTAGAGAAACTTCAAAGCACAAACAAAATATGAAAAATAAAAATGGACCTATTCCTCTCTGGAATCAGAGAGACGAAATGACGCCGGTTGGTGAAAGCCTTCGGGAAGCTAGTCGGCCGATGTGTCTTCACTCTCTCCATGAAAGCAAAAGTAAGAATGGGGACGTGACATGTCCGCACCATGAATGAACCTACCAAGGTTGCCCAGATTGCAAAAGCGACTTTAGAAGGCATAGTAGAGAAATCGCCCATTGTGTTACAGATGAAATGAGCGGAAACTGTCGAAAAGTTAACTAAGAACGAACGAAAACCTACCTTCCACTAGGAACCCAAGGAAAAATAATAATATAATGATATCATATTTATCCATAAAATTATTGTTTGCTTTCCTACGAATGATAAAGTATTTCGAAGTCTAAGTAAGATTAGATCAAATTTTGTTGAATAATGATGTTTTAGAAAAATGTATATTGACATTTTTGAAAATTTTGTATCTCAGTATCTAGTTTAACCTGAACAATGTACATTAAATGTTGCCAATCCAAAATGAAATGAATAAAAAATAATCTAAGCAATCCATTCATATGTTTTCTTTCTATCTTATCTTCTATAGAATGCTGGATTCTGTTAACTGTGCAACTGTATTTGAAATATTATTGTTCCATATAACAGTTGTTTTACGTTAGAGACCATTGCTCGTTTTCTGTATCACAAATAAAATATGCTACTTATACATTCTTTTGCATTTAGTTTATGATTTATTGGGATTGATTAATTTCAAGGTAGCTTTCACTACGAACTGATATCATTTAGAGAACTCTTGAGAACTTTACAAAAATACACAATGGTTTCAATCTGGTGTAGAAATCTTTAACCAAATGGTACAAATAAGAAAATGTAAACTAATTCGTTTCAACTTAGTAGCTGAGTTCTAATATGCTGCTTATGAGACCTTTTCAGCCTGAACTGGATCTCTCATACGTTCGTGGATGATTATCACTGAAGACACTGGTACTAGTAAGAAGAATCTGTCCAGTACTCGAGGGTTTCTAATGATTTTTCAACTGGTGTCAGTTCATGATGAAAAATACCTTGATATATTTTCATTATTTTATGCAAAATTAGTTCATATGACCTGACCTCATCATTATTAGTTTTCTTGTTATACGGCTGAAAGTTACTTCGGTTAACAGATCACACTGATTTAATGATAAAACCTCTTGGTCAGCAATACTCACCTCTGACTGTTTATTTCATTTAGTTGCATCCTGCAATCAGAATTATAAATCCAGGTGAATGAGTTGAATTCAGGGCTATAACTATTATCAGAATCCACGTCTACAGACTTAGATTGTCAGCTACAGTTAATATAAAAAACGATCCAATCAACCAGTTCCATTCACTATCCTGATGTTTATGAAATGGATAAGGTATAACAGGAATTTTTATTTAAAGTTGTTATTGATCGTATACTGACATTAATTGGAGGAACAAAGGAAACCTGGGAGCACTGGACAGCTGTTTCGTCCTGAGCTAACAGAAGTTGGAAATATGGACCATTGGATTCTGACCCATTGGCTCAATAGTAACGTACTGGTCACGGAACCTGAAGGTCGCGGGGTTCGATCCCTGGAAGGCGGGGTCGTGGGTGCTCACTGCTGAAGAGTCCCATACTACGGCGAAACAGCTGTCCAGTACTCCCAGGTTTCCTCTGTTCCTCCAACTGATGTCAGTCTACGATGAATAACAACTTGAAATATTTCCAAATCCTCACAACTCCCTCAAAATTCAATTCTTATTTACTTACTAGCTACTTCAAATGCTGTTTTCATTAATCATGAGCTTCGCCTAGACCTATACAAATGAAATAGCCTTCTATAATGTTCGGTTCTCTGAAAATAGTAACTTCTCTTAAGGCTTCTAGATACAATTGGTTCTCTTCTTCTTTACAAATGATTAAATCATTCACAAATCCTCATAGGTATCAGTTTCAAATACATTGAGAGTTAAATAATACTCTAATTACATAGATTATCAATAAAATATTGATTTATTTGAGAAAAACGAAGTACATAAGAAGTTTTCAATCACAATTATTTGCTTCATTCTTCGAATTGTATTATTTCATTCATTTATGTAGGCTTCTTGTAGCATAGATACCATCCCTGTAATAGTAATAGTAATAACAATCATAATAGTAACTAAAAAATTTTTATATTCTACTAGACAAAGGATACGGTGAGTAGATGTAAGAGATTTCAGAATAAAAGTTACACTCACTCCATAATGATGATAGCTAAGAGCATGCTAATCAACATGATTTCATAATTGATGTGTTGAATTGCACCGAATATGTGCAAATAATTACTGAACACTTGAATCATTACCATAATAAATAACAAATCAAGTTAAACTTTAGGTGATATGGGACAACTGTTACCTTTATTCTGATCTAATTCACTACTTCATGAGAAGATGTCTTTAAACTGACTGAGCTTAGCTTGAAATATAAACAGAGCATTTAAAGGATCTATTTAAAAAGAGGCAACTAAAATTAGAGATAAGATCCCACTGAGGCATAAAGAGTCTAAGATGAAAACATGGTTTGAAATTTTCTTACAAATGGATAGTGATTTCAGTTAGTTGACAAGAATCAGGTGGAAGGCAGTTTTAACAGTATCGTTCGAATTCTGATTTTCAGGATGATAGAGAGAGAGTGTGTGTGTGTGTGTGTTCAGAAGTGCTTGAGTTATCTTCACCTTGGTGAAGCATACCAAGATATGTCCGCATTTCGTGTGACCCGTATTCACCATCTATTTCAATGTTATGGATAAGTTAAAATTCTCAGCGTAACCTCTCTAACATTTTTTAATTGTACACTCATATTCGTAGTGGTCTTAGTGCACAGCAAGTTAGAAAGCTGTTTCTATTTGTAGTCAACATTTTATGGTAGCTGAGAATAGATGATTTTCGATGGAAGTATGTGTGATCTCAATCCCCCTTGACTAATTATACTAATATTTATCAATAGAATTTGAAGTAACAACCAAACATTTTTAACAATCTCTTACAAAATCAAATGTACATGTATGTTGTGGTGAAACCTATACGGCGAATTCATTTGTAAGTAACTAAGGCTTAGTAAAAGAGAACGACAGTGTTCAATCAGTAATGTACTCATTATTTTCTACTTCAAGGACAAACATATATCAAGCTCAATTTACAAACTTCACCTTTATATAGAACTTTTAGAAGCATTTTTACACTTTAGTAGTAGCTGTCACACAACTGGAATATGTTACTTCCTATTCTCATCAAATCATAATCAACTGGCTCGGAAGATTGATGGTTTATTTCACTAGATATTTCAAATTGATATCTTAGCAAATAATGATTGGCAAACATTCATCTATTCGAATAGTATACAAAGTGGTGACTTCAATGAGAAGTTTCGCTGACGCAATCTAATTTCATCTGTTTGTCAATACCTACTAGATATGATCAGTTGTTAAGCTACACTAACCAGGACGTAACCAATAACATATTGTCTAATTGTAACTGTAGACTGGATTCTATCGACCAAGTTTTAAATGTGATCACCGAGCTAAGAGGCTTGTCATCACGTCTTCTCAGTTAGCGGAACAAAAATGTTGATTGAGTCATAATCAACATCATGAAGAACCTAAACTGAATTATGTAAACATAACTACCAACAATCAACAATTTATTTCCGAAATAGGGCTGAAAAAACGTTGGTTTATCAATTGAAACTGCTAGAATTTAAAATTTAGTGGTTCTTTGCTCAACATGCGCATAAGTGACCTTGAGACTAAACTAGAGCCTTACAGAAACTATGGAATTCTGCGACAACGAATGAGGAAAGTTTAACATACTAACTTTATTCATTTTTGAGCTGTTCGTTTAAAAGTTGCATTTTAAATGACATTTTCTGTCTCTCTGAGGAAAACATTTCCAGGAAACTTCTAAGTTTCTCATCATGAATTTCTTTTTAAAGTAAATCATCAACTATAGGCTTCCGTCGACCAAAGTTAGAAATAATTTTTGTTTGTTGAGGCCAGTGAATAACCCAGAATGGTTTTGTTCAGATTGATATTCCTACTGAGGCTTCTTGTTACGTCAATAATACACACACAGCGTTATTTGATGAAAAAGATATCTTCTCCGAACTTCTCGTTTTCTCTAATCTTCTGATGGGTATTTTCGTTGGTTTGAAGAATAGGAGAGACTTTACAATACAGGAGTGACTCAGTGGGTTTCTGCTATACTCTGTCAAACTTACTGAAGCAAATGAGAAAGTTTATTTTCTGGAAGACTGCATTACGAATTATATGCATCCAAAATGGTTTTGGAAGTCTCTGGCTAGACATCATATATATATATATATATATATATATATATATATATATATATACTCGAAGTCACTTGAGCGTCATACCAGAAATATTATTGATTCCAGAAGTTCATAAACATTTGAGCGAGTGCTAAAAACATATCGCAGAGATCTGCCACTCTGTATTACTTTTCACCAAATTAACACCAATTATTTAGGGTTTAACCAAAGTTCTCAAAGTTGATTTACCAATTCATTCAATTTAGGATATATCAGAATCACCCTACCACCAGGTTGCAAAGTGGCTTTATTAAATTCTCGAGTCTGTTTGAAGACAGCTATTCGGCTGTTTTGACACTCTTGAACGTAACTGGAAAACGTATGTTATAACTCGGCGTAGAATCTCTACTCATCAACGTGCAAATAATACGGACAATCTGTTTCCCAGGTAAATATATAAATCATAACTTGAATATTGAAATGTCGATATCAGATCCAAAAGAGCTACCACTTAGATGCACCTTCAACGTGCAATCTTTCTTCCACGACATGAAGTGAAAGAATTGCTGTAAGTTCTCCCCTTGTTTTATATCGAGTTTAGAAAACAGCCGTCTAAGGTAAGTAAGTGACGAGATTTTGGTATCAAAAGGTATGAAGTTGATGCCTTCATAGTTTGACTTGATGACTGCAATTAAAACTAAATTTTAAGATTGTTGAACAGACATCTCCTCTCAATTAAATTCACACTTGAAGTAGAAAAGGAATCAAAGATTAAGTTCTTGAATGTAGAACTCGCTAGACGAGGTAAAGAGACAGTGAAGAGGTCTATGTATAGGAAGCTTAAATTAAATGGTCAGGTGATAAATTTCTACAGTTGGATAACTGTAAGTAGAAAAAGAATGCTAATCATATCCCGTAATTACTGTATTCAACACATCTTCAACACCAATCGCTTCAAAGAAGAACTCAAGTTTCTTGAAAAGGTTCTAGCTGAAAACAACACTATTCACAGTATCACAGATGATTCAGCATTCAAAGTCAAGTGGGATGTGTGAAGAAATTTATCGAAAATAGTACGTTTCTTTTTTCTCTGTATTCTAGAAGCTCCTTTTATATGCATAAAAAAACCTAAACTATATATCTAAAGGAAACATTTTCAAGCTTTATTATTACCCTGAACATAGAGTAAATACCTAAAAACTTCAATCTCCCTGTTTCTTTAATATTCACAATTTTGTCATATTTCACTATACATTTTAATAACTCAACATCGTCTTCCTTTTCTTTCATGTTACATAGATCTTACAAATTACGCAACTTCATGTTCTCACCTGTTAATGAACTTAGTTTCTATGCTCTTTTACGATTAATTCTAACCTTACACCACACTTAAATTTCTGACCTCAATTCAACTTGATCTTTATTACTACGTTTAGTTAAATAATCCTTGTAACTATTCAATATATTAAAACAAAAATGTATGAGTTATGGTAATTTACTTGGTTTTGGCTAGCACAGAAACTCAGGATGCGCTTTTCGTCTTATTTAGGACTCATCAGCTAGATGTATAATACTGGATAAATCGTTAGGAGCAAACCACCATAATTAAAATTCAGGCAACATCGAGGCATCCTTTATAGCAGCTCATATACCAATAGAGGTCGAACAATTCGGTCCAGTATAACAACAGAGAATTACAAGCATATCAACAAATAGTAATAACTAATACCGGTTGTACAAGAAGTGGCTGTCGTTCCTCCGTGGCTTTGTAGATAACGCCTTGGCGTTTGAAACATTGAGTACGAGGTTCGAGTCTCAGTGGGAGAAACATCACTCACTGGGATGTAGGTAAATTCAGCTGATGAGTCCCAAATAGGAGGAAGCGTGCGTTCTAGATTCTTCTGCTGTTCGCAACCAAATTAATTATGGTAATAAACATTCAGGCAATATCGAGGCATTCAAATAGGAGCCTATATGCAAACAGAAGTCAAACAATTCGATCCAGTAAAATAATGGAGAACTACAAGCATATCGATAGTAATCTATCATTTCCATTTGTACATTTGTGAAGAATTAAATCACCGACAAAGATATCATTGCTGAATTTCTCATTTTCTGAAATATAAACTCATTCAAGGTCTTATATAGATATTTATGGACTAGTAAACCCAATAAATTCGAAAAATTTATCTTTTTCGTTTTTATTAAACGTATTTTGTGTTTTCTGTTAGGGTACCCTTACAGGCACATTCTTCATATTCCTACTGGAGCTTAGTATGCAGATTTACTTATGATATGGAGTCACATTGGGAAATAAAATGTAAAATAATTGTAAAATATGGGTTATTGATACACTTTCCTATCCTATGAGATTCTAAAAGACATTAATCAGATGATAGGACATTTAATAGCTATTCACACATGCACGCAAAAAGTTATGACTCTTTACCATATCAAAGTTACGCATATAAACATCTTGAACTTATAAGGAGGTTGTTTCAAGAAGTGATATCATCTAAGAATCTGTAGGTTGAAACCTATAAACCGGGGATATATTTGTCAGCATGATACAAGTGACGAAATTCATGATAAATAGCTCACACTATTTAAAATTCCTAAATAAATGTGATAGGTTTGGCTTCAGAAAACAATGTAGCTGTAATCTTCAAGTTACCTGATACAGATTTGAATCAAACTTTGATAGAACAGCTAACACTGGTCACCAGTCGTTCATTTCATCCTTTTTGAGGAATTCACTAATTCGCGGGCTGACACTAGTTGAAGGAACATTGAAAGCCTGGGAGCACTGGATAACTGTTTTGTCTTAGTATGGGACTCCTCAGCAGTGTGGATCTTTGATTCTCCTCCTCAAGAGACCGAACCCTGGACCTTTACGTTCAGTGGCCAGCACGTTACCACTGAGCCACTCGTTTGGAATTCAGCGATCCATATTTTCAACTTTCGTCAATTCACAATATAGCGTGACCTTTAACTAATGTCATAGCTGAGTATTTATCCTCATGTCCATCAGGCTTGCCCCACCGATCACAACTTCTCACTGGGACTTCAGAAATCATCCCTCTTGATGCTAGTCACCAATAAGCACTAGATTTAATTTGTGGGCAATTTTTCAAGTTGATATTCTGACCCAGTGGCTCATCGGTAGCATGCTGGCCACGAAACTCGAAGGCTCTGAGCTCAATCCCTGGTTGGGCCAGGTCAGGAGTGCGGACTTCTGAGGAATCACATACTAGGACGAAACAGCTGTCCATTGCTCTCAGGTTTCCAATGTTTCTCCAACTGATGTCAGTCTATAATGAATACCAACGTGAAATATCACTATATTCCCTTGAAGCTCCCAAATTAAATCCACTAAATGTCTTCACTAAGTATCATCATATAATTTACATGTTGAAAGAAGTCGAGGATAAACACACCACTGATCAGTTCATAAATAGGATATCGTTTTAATTACCAATGAGAACTGTCTTAAAGGCTTATTAATCTATGGAATGAATAAATGAATGAATGAATGACTTTCTCGATGCATTAAATCAATTCACAGAGATAGTTATAAATGAAACCTACTTCACAAGATTTTACCGGATCAATTGTAGCTAAAGTCTTGTTAATAAGTTTGAACATTGTAAACGTAAATAAGGAGGCGCACTAAATTGAAACAAATGCAGAGAAAGAAAAAACAAATTTGTTTTTGAATTATTATTATTATTATTGTCACTATCGTCACAATTGGCATAAATACCTAAAGATAATGATATTAGTAAAGAATAAAATCAAAGGAGTTATAAGACAAGTTGGTGATTTTATACTTTATACCACCTAAAAGATTATTGATACTAGGTGATGACTGCAGGTGAAATGAAAACCTGGATGGAAACCGGATTCGAACCACCGGTCTCCAGTTTACCTAACTGATGCTAGGTGTGAGATCAAGCTGCTGACCAGATATTAAGTTCACTTCAATCACTAAGAACCTGTCAAATCATATCTGTCTTACAAAAACAATTTGTACAGCGGCTGGATTTAAACCAGCGACCATCGGGTTTTCTGGCCCGATACTCTACTAACTGCGCCTTGTAGCTCACTTGGTGGGCCACCGGGTGGAAATACGGAGGTTGCTGGTTCGAATCCCACTGCGGTTCAAAGTTCCATTCCACCTTCAATCATCAGTACTAGTCTGCCAAACCACGACTATCTCAGATAATCAAAATGATTATTGATAAGTGTAGAAAGTGTGTTTGCACCCATCACGTGTAACAGCGTTGGAGCAGTGAGCATTAACCTCGTTACAGATGAATTAATGGACATATCCTCAGACACCTCGCACTTCATAAGGATTGACCTATTCCCTGAAGGGTATTTGGTTAACTTGGATTAAGCAGATGATATTGTTCTGTTAGGTCCAGACTCTGACAAAATGTGTGGTTTTCTAAGTGTATTGAGTAGAAAACTGTGTATATTTGGCACGTGTTTCTCACATGTGAAATGTAAGCTCAGGCTTCAGGATTAGTCTACCAGTACTGTCACTTTGATTATGTGGAGTGAAGTAATTGAATCTGTCGACTGCTTCACATTCTTGGGGAGCTGCATCAACCCAAATGGCCTGGTTGCTAATGAAATCTACCAATTGCCAACTCGCTTCATCTCTGTCTCTGGCAAGCTATCTGACTACCTACTAAACGACGAGAAAACTGTACTGCAATCCGTTTTGTCCAGTTCACTTGTTCGCTGCCTGAAAAAGTGAACTATGGCAAAGGCAAGCAATCCACTTTGATACGAGGTTCTATGTTGATTTGTCTGTCCATTTCTCTACCTGTTTTGGAAAGGATTAGATTTCAGAAATATAAAACAGTGTTCATTCTGAGATTATTCCTGATAGTATCAACTATAAATATTAATATATCAAAATCCTGGAATCCTCAAAAGTTACTGAGATATGCGAAAAGAATTATCTTACAGAATGCAAACTTCTAAACATATAATTCGAGCGAATAACACTATTTGATAGTACATATAGCGACACTTATTGTAATTGCTATTTATGTAGGCTTTTTGCCATAAAAAAAAACATAGCTTCATGAGTCGTATTCTAATTGAAAGATGGAAGATTCAACCAATAACTGTCGTTACTCGTCCGAAAAATTAATTTTCATGATGACATAATTCAGTCATTCACAAAAGTTTCACATGATTTACTCATCTGTCAATAACCTGTATGCTTTTATTACACCAATCGTGAGCAGAAAATTTCTTCATCTCAAATTCAGAAGAAAACACAAACTTCGAGCTTCACATGAACAGTATAATCGTACAAGAACTGTTAAAATTCTTTTAACAAGAACTTTTAAAGACGAAATTTTTATGTATATATATTCATCTAAAAACTTTTATACCTACTTTCTTTCTAACGGCCCCCTAACATAAAGGCATTTAACCTTTATAAGGCAGCTGCCAAAAGGACAGAAATCTAATTCATGGACATAGAACACTTCTGATGTCAAACTTGAATTTCAAGTTGCGGTTTGACCTTCAATGCATAATTATTATTATTTGTCCCTTGAGTTCCTAGTCGAACATAGGACTTCAGTAGCACGTCTCCATTCCACTCTCTTCGCTGCAATCTTTTGGACCTGGCTCCACCACTGCCCATGGGCTCTCATTTCTTCTTCATACCATCTCCCCCATGTCACCCTCGGCACGGACACCCAACTGGCCGTTTTCCATCGTGGTCCCACTCAAGGGCTTGTCCTGACTCGTGATGTCCCCAGTTGGCCTTCTCAGTGTATGCCTAATCTATCTCCACTTCCTTCTGCATAATTGTTGGGTGATAGGTTCTTGATTGGTTCGTTGCCCTTCCAGAGTTCATTGTTGCTTATTCTTATTATTCTGGCCATCTGAGCTTCAGTAACGAGCCAGGGTAGGTTGTTGTTGGTGAATGTCTGTAGTTTGTTGGAAATGTCTTTCGTAACGCTCCAAGTCTCTGAACCATCCCATAGCAGCACTGACTTGACTGAATGGGTGTTGAGAATTCGGATGTTGTTCACGCTTTATGCTGAGTGCAGAAGATCTCCACACTGGTTTCAGGTTAATGAAAGCCTGTCTTGCTTTTCCGATCCTGGCTTTGACATCCTCGCTTGTACTTGTGCCGCCTGTATTTGAAACAGTGCTGCCCTGCCTGGATAGGTGGAAGAGACTACTTCCTTTAAGTTTCTCCCGTTGATGGTGATTGGAGCTTGTTGTTGTTGTTGGTGGTGTTGGTTGGGTATCTTCATCACCTCTGTCTTCTCCATATTCACTTGAAGTCCCGTCTTCCTCGGTTGCCCTGCCTCTTCTGTCAACTTGTTAGTTTTTGCCTGTAGATCTTCAAGTTTGTGTGACATTAGACACAAGTCATCGGCGAAATCCAAATCATCTAGGATCCTCTCCCCGGTCCAGCGCACCCCTTCTTCTCGCTCCTCACTGTTTGCTGCATGATCCAGTCAACTCGACCACAATCAGGAATATCATGGTGATAGTAGACAGCCTTGTTTTACTCCTGTCTTCACTTCGAAGGCGTCACTGAACTTCCCATTGGAACTGTTTGACGTTAACGTCGATTGACATAACATATCGGATAGACATATTTTCCATTGAAAGTTTCACAGGACTGAAATATAACTAATCAGCTAGACGTTATGTAGGTTTTAACTAGGTTGGCTTATCTATATTACCTTTATGTATATTAGATGCGTATTAGATCTCATTGAGCTTATTCATTTTAGATGCCAGATTATTTTCCACAAACACAAATAACCTGAGTAAATAATTTATCCGGCCATTACTATGAAATGAATACTACTTTTAGTAAGTTAATTCCCTGTTTAAATTTTATGAACCAAAAATTTCAGTTTAATTTTGATGTTTCGTTTTAGAAATGGCTGTTGAACACGATAATTTTGAATGAGATAGTCTGTGGACTGGAAATCTTCCGTTACATATATTTTCTATTGGTATACATTGGTCATCTTATTCATTACAGTTTCAGCAGCAGTAAATATTATAGAATTCGCATAAGATACGGTTGACAAAAGGGTCTGGAATCTAGGTTTCGTACCTGCTGGTACCCATCGGTAAGGTCTATTTCTAACCTTGAAAGAACTGATTCTCCTCAGAGATCTACACTCATATCAATCAGTTCTCTAATTAGACAGGTTACCACCAAGCTATTCACCTAGTGATGGGACTCTATTAGAACTAGCTGCCTTCAAGTTTTTAATGTCAGTCAAATAGATTTTTAAAGTTGTGAAGTCTCATTTCCTCTCTTTGTTCATACTTATCTTCTTTTTATGCCTATAGTTCCTATAAGCCTACTCGCTTGAGTTCCAATACTGAACTGTGAATAGCCATTCCATTTTGTTCTGTAATTTTCCAGTTTCTGTTGTGTTGTTGGGAAATTCGACAATCAGGACTCTGAACTTAAGCGTGAGTTTTTACGTTACTCATTCTGACAGCAGTTCGCGGCGTTCTACTATATGAATGTGCAACATGGATATGAGAAGGTTTCCGGTGTTTGACAGCTGTTTTCTTCATAGCATAGGACGTGTGTTGTGGTATCATCACATCATCAATGTAGAATTCAGGTTTAGAGTCTTGGGACGACAAGGGAAAGTTACTTGGTGCGGTTGTGAACTTTCATCTACTGAAATGACCAGGACATGTGTTATGCATCCCTAATCATCACCACCTGCCTCGTCTCGCAATGTAAGATGAAGTATGTTCATTCTAAAAGGAGGCTTGAGGCGGCCAGACTAAAATATGGCATCAGTGTATGAAGTCTTTGACTGTTGGTTTGAACGGTATGGATATGCAGTCTAGGCCATTGAGGTTCACTTGACAACAGAAACCAGTGCTTAAAGACTCTAGGTAATATGGTTCGGAATCGATGTCAGTGGTACAGATTCACCCACACTTTATCTTCATTTTTACTGCATTGAATTCAGCATTTTCTCGTTCCTCCTTCCTCTCTTCTACTGCTTTGGTGGAATTTTTCCTTCATCCTTCGTCTTTCATCTTACTACTTTGTTACTGCATGTACTGAGTTGAAGTGTAACAACTTGGCTGTTACACAATAATGCTTGGTCCTACACTGATATAATAAGATAGCCTGCGTATTCTATTAAATCAATATGGACAGGTACCCACAGGGAAATGAACATCAGGATATCCATACGGAAACAGCATGATAAGTATCGATACTGGGATTTGGAAATTTATCAAATATATGGTTTGATATTTACACTGATGAGGAGTTTTAAGTCACTGTAGGCTGAAAAGAGAAGAGGCATTAGATTATCAATGTGAGTTTACCAACAACCTAGATAATAAAACTGCGCGCAGATAATATACAAAGATTCAGCTGACTGTTAACAATTTTTTTAAGTCATGAATATTATCCAACTGTTTATCAAAGGATGAGTATACTGCACTACAATCCGTACTGTCTCCATGTACGACTGTGAGAAATATCAGATAAAAGTAGAAGACATGAAACATATATAGGGTTGTGATCACAGATGTCTTCGAAATATTGCTTGCGTTTGGTGAAATCAGCGCATGAGCAATACTGAGGTTAGGCGAAGAGTACTAAGCAAGATAGGCAAGCCGATTTCTGAGGTTGCGAATGTTAGTCGACTGAGATGGCTTGGACATGTACCGTCCATCACAAACCACCGCAGTAAATCTGCTAAAAACTGGGAAAGCAGCAGGATCGGATGGCATTCCGCCAGAAACACTGAAAACAGATGCAGAGGCAACAGCGGACACCCTTACACCACCACTGTAGAAGATTTGGAAGAATGCAAAGAAAGGTAAATGCCAATTGATTGGAAGAAGGGCGACCTTGTCAAACTTCCTAAGTCTTTGCAAGAACTGGCTCGGAACCATGCTCCACACCTGTCCAACAAAAGTAAAATATTATGTCGCATCATACAGGAGAGATTAAAAGGTGCTCTGCACTCAAAATTACGACCGGAACAGGCTGGATACCTTCAGCAAGAACAAATCATGTGCGGATAAAATTTCACCAGGACACTAAGCATCATCATAGAAAAGAGCATAGAATGGCAGTCAACTCTCTAATTCAGTCTCATCGATCTCGAAAACGCCTTCAATCGAGGAGTCGACTGAGAATTCATTTGGCATCTGCTACTTCAACACTACGATACTGGTGCCACAAATCTACACCAACCTCATTCAACAGCAGCTATATCATATATGATGATATCACATGCCAAGTGATTCATAATGGAAAGCTCAGTGATGCCTATAAAGTGGAGACAGGGTACAGGAGTAAGACGAGGTTGCAACATACAACAACTGATCATCATCCTGATTGTGGTCAACTCGACTCGAATCAACTGGAATGGATTTTACAAGGAACCGTGAGGGGCGAGAATATGAGAAAATGTTGGCTGGACAGATGAGAAAACCCCAGAAGAAGATTTAGATTTCGAAAACGATGATCACTCATGTCTAACATCTTATGCCGCACAAACTTGAAGGTCCACAATTTACAACTAACAAGTTGGCAGAGGAGGCAGGGCAGCGAAGATGGCACTCCCTTCATGTGAACGTAGAGACGACACAGGTGATGAAGATATCCGACCAGAAACAGAAACAACAAATACAACAACAAGCACTAATCACCATCAGAGGGAGAAATCTGAAGGAAGTCGTCTCCCTCACCTACCCACCTACCTAGGCAGCATCACTTCAACCAGCACAGGTGGCACAGGCACAGATGAGGATATCAAAGCAGTCAGAATCGGAAAGATAACAAGACAGGTCTTCCTTCATTATTCTGAAGCCAATCAGTGTGGAGATCTACTGCACTGCACTACACTGCACTGCACTGCACTGCACTACACTGCACTGCACTGCACTGCACTGCACTCAGCAACAAGTGTGAACGATATCCGGATTTTCAACACTAATGTCAGTCAGGTAGGTCAGTGCTTCTATGTGATGGTTGAGAGACTTGGGGTGTTGCGAAAAGCGTTTCCAACAAACTGTAGACACGATACATCAGCAGCTGTCCCGTATACTCACTCAGTACTGAAGATCAGTCAGATGAGCAGCATAATAAGGAAAAGCAACGGTGAACTCTGGTCGGGTGACGAACCAACCAACCATGAACCGATCGCCCAACAAATATGCAGGGGAAGAAAGTGTAGATGGATTGAGCATACACTGAGAAAACCATTCTGGGACATTACGTGTCAGGCCAGGCGAGGCCAGGCCGTCGAGTGGAACCCAAATGAGAAATGACGAGTTGTGCGTGTGAGGATGAGGGTGAGGGTGAGGGTGACATGTGGGAGATTGTGTGATGAAGAAATGCAAGCTTCTGGGAAGTGGTGTAGCCAGGTTGAAAAGACTGAAGAGGAGAGAGTGAAATGGTGACGGTGACGTGCTTCTGAATCTGCATGTTTTACTAGGAACCCAAGAGACAAATAATACTACAAAATATCAGTTGTATTAGAAGTGGCTATAATACCCTGGCGGCCTTGTGGATAATGTTTCGGCGTTTGAATCAATGGGTAGTGGATTTGTGTCTGAGTGGGAACGAAATCACTAACTGAAGTGCAGGTTTATATGTCTGATGAGTTCTGCCTAGGACTAAACGTGCATTGTGGATACCTCTGCTAGCGACCACCAAGTAAATTATAATAAATTTTTTTCAAAGGATAGGGATTTGAATCCAGTGGATAATGTTATTGTATATTTATCTTGACAGTACATTATGGTAGAGAAATTCCAATAAATGGAAAAATGACAAACTTTTCTACCTGTCCAAATCAACTCACCTGGTCACGCAATGGTCCAAGGGCTTCACAGAAATACACTAGCCGGGATTGAAGTTTATAAAGTTGATCATAGTCCAGGAAGAAGAATAATACTGTATCGTATGCCTTTCTGCATCCTGCACAAACTAAAATAAATGAAAAAACATAAGTTCAGTTATTGAGTAGACTATTTCTGGCATTCAATGTCAGTATTTGTTATTATTATTATTATTGTTATTATTATTATGACTGTTAGTATTATTCCATGATCCCTGGCCAAAACTGCTCAGTCAGTTGGGTAAAGCTGACGAAGCACTTGATTTCAAAACTGTAGTAAAACAGTAAAATGATTAGTGTAAGACATGAATTTTCGAAATTCAACTTCTTAACTGCTCAGTAGCTTGCTGTGATGAAGACTTTATTACTGATGTTATACATCTGTTCTATACTTCATAATGTACACAAGTCACTTACATGTGACGACACTTACTGTATAGATAAACAAGAATCATACATCCTGATCCTTGTATTCCATGATAAAATAAGATGAAAACTTGTACTTCGTAGCTGTTGTCAAGTTACCTATTGGAAGACTGTAGACTAAGGCCAAAAAGCTTCAAACGCCTTATGAACATGTATACTTGTCATAAGGTAAAGATTCATGCTGAAGCGACAGTTCACAATACTATCAACAGATTCTGATTTGTTCTGTAAGAAGGTTGAAGTATAATATTATCCAATGACCCGTAACTTGTAAGTATACTTTTATTTTATAACGAAAAAGCTCGCTTTGATTACTTTTAATGTCTAAGTAATATAAGTTCATGGATAAACTCAATGAATCATATATATTTTATGAACAAGAAACGAGAAAAGAGGAAATATAGTGCATGAGTAGTTAAATTAAGGTATATTATCTTTAATATCTCCAAGTCTTGTTATCCAATGAAGTACTTTATGTGATTTAGGGTTCATGGATTTTTATTTTTAAGGTGGTATTTATCAAGGACTGATATTAGTTAAAGAACCACTGAAAACCTGGGAGCACCAGACCGCTGTTTCCTTCTAGTATGGGACTCCTAGGCAGTATAGGTTCACGTCCATTCCAGGGTTTGGACACAGGACATTCATGTCTCGCGGCGAATACGTTATTCACTGAATGAACTACTGGGTTAGAGTTCAGAGGCCTACAGCTTCCTACTTGTATCACTTAGCTACACAGTGTGACAATTCAACAAGATTTCCAGTTGGTATCCTCTTCACTTCACTTTTCCATATAGTGAACTGACAGAACTAGGAAAATGTGGACTATTAAACTCCATCGCAGTGCCTCAATGAATAACCCGTTCATTGGGAGACTTGAAGTTTCTAAGTCAGGTAGCTGGAGAGATCACTGGAGCATACTCCTGAGGAATCTCATACTAGGAAGAAACAGCGGTCCAGTGTTACCACGTTTCGATGGTTTTTCAAATGATGTCATTCCATAAAGAATACTACCCTGTTAGTAACTTTATAGTTTGTTTCGTAGACACGTGTGTAAACCTGCTTGTAATCCAATCATTCGTTAATATTATGCAGTTAGAGAATAAGAATTTATGATCAGTTATATAAACTGTCGTTCGTTATCCTTCCTTTATATCCCTTTTGGTTTAATGTTGGTAATTCAATGTATTTTGAAGTATTGGTCTTGATTTGTTATGGAGCCTAGATAATAGAGTGCAACGCTTATCTTGATTTCCATTCATCCAAAAACTTAGGTACGAGAACACAAACAACTAATCTAGCGTTCAAAATTCACTGAAAGGACAGTCAAGGTGATAAATACTTGTATTATGGAGATATAAATCAAATCATATTGATGGATAGTTGAATTTTATATGAAATTTCAGCAGTATCCGTCATCACTTAATACATGTAAATTATCTATTGTCAATAAATTAGATCTGTAAATATCATGCACAATTTATTAGCTTCAACGATGTTAGCATCCGAAGCTAAAGCATTTACTTCTACCATTCTCGCATGGATCCATTGAATAAAAGATATTTATCTTTTCAAGCCAATGTCTTTTCTAATAATGTCTTGTTCGTGCATGTCATGATTCTGTATTTAAGTCTCGTTAAAACCTTTTTAATAGTTATTATTCGATGTTGTTATCGCAAATGGCCTATGTTACAACAGTTTCTTGAGATAAGACGTGGAATGTCTGAAAAAATGTTTGAAGCTTCCTAGCAAGGCTACTCAGATGGTAAAAGAAATGAGGAGGTATGACATGGAAGTGCTTGGAATCTGCGAAAGCAGATGGAATGGAATGGAAGTGAACTCCGCAAACTGTCAACTGGTGAGTCAATAATCTACTCGGTCACCCATATGACAACCAGCAGCATACTGAGTTTTCCAGCGGCTATCATGATGTCTCCAACAGCATCGAAGGCTTTCTCTCATAAAGTGGGAACCAAACTCCTCCTCCAGGATAAGCATCATGACAGCAAGATTCAAATCGAAAGGGAGGAAAGTCACAATCATTTAATGCTACGTGCCAACAAAAAATGCAGATCAGGAGAAAAAAGAGGAATTCTACAAACAACTGCAGTCAGTACTTGACAACATCCCACCCCAGTTGGGTGAGGTGACATGGATGCGGAACCGGGAGTGGACAACACAGAAAGAGAACTCATTCATCATGAGTGGAGAAGCACTCGTGAAACGATGAATGGGAATGGAGAACTATTTGCAGAATTCTGATCATTTACGGACTTGGTGATTGGAGGCAGTATGTACAAACACAAGAATATTCACAAAGCAACATGAATTTGATTTCATCAGACACCAGATACACTACACTAAAATTCAGATCGACTTCATCTCGACGTGAAGAAAGTGGAGACGCAGCCTATTGGACACAAGATCAGATGAAGAAGAGGAGCAGATGAGTGTTCACATCACTCACTATCTAGTGCAAGGAACCTACTTTCCAAATCAATTTGAATGCCTTCAAAGAAGTTGATGATGATAGATCACAGTTGAAGTTGAGCATACGGAACAGAAACTGAACTGAGTGACGAAACTCCGAATGACACCTTCACGTCAGTCGGTCAGTCATCAGGAGAAAATGGGAGACATAAGGCAACATCTGTGAAGAAATCTGCATGGAATGACGCTGGAACCGTTTGGAAGCTGTGTGGAAAGAAACCTGCACAACTGTGTTAGTTAGGAAGAAGAAGAGGGGAGACAAGGAATGGATCTCGATGGACACATGTAAGCTGATAGAGGGGTGGGGGGGTAGGGGAAGACGGTGAAGTATAACATGAACCAGTACAGTGCAGGCAGGGATGAAGAACGAAAAGAGGACCTGAGTACGACCTATAAACCACTACACTGTACGAGGGAGTGAAGAAGAGTGCACATGAAGACGAGAGACAGTTCTACGACACATTGGTAAATGAAGTGGAACAGGCTTCTGGTGGGAGAGACATGACAACACTGTACCACATAACCAGGTTACTATCTGAGTGGGAAGAGATCAACGCAGACAAAATCATTGAAGGATAGTGAGGGAAACTCAGTGACCGCCGAAGAGGGAAAACAAGGGAAACCATGAACTGACTACAGCAAAAATCTTGAGTCGACTACCACCACTGCCAACACCAGCACCTGCAACTGGTCCACAAACAACAGCAGCAACGGAGCCACAGAATTACCAGTGAACACAGGGCCTGCGACAAAAGCCGAAGTTATGAATGCCATAAAGCTGCTGAGAACCAGGTAATTAGCAGGATCAGATGGAATTCCGACGCAAACACTAAAAACAGACACAGAGACAAAAGTGGACTCGCTCATACCTCTGCTGCAGAAGGTTTACAATGACGGGAGGAAAGTTAGGCGCCCATTGATTAAACGTACGATAACATAAGTCCTTGCAAGAACTGGCGCGGAATCATGCTACAACCCTGAAGGCCTACAGGAGAAAACTAACAAGTTGGGAGAGGAAGCAGGGCAGAGAAAAACGACGAGAATTCATTCAGGTGCACGTGGAGAAGACACAGGTGATGAAGATATCCAACCAGTAACAAAAACAACTAATAAAACCACAAGCACCAACTACCATCAGAAGCATAAATCTGAAGTAAGTCGTCTCCCCCACCCACCTACCTACCTACCTACCTACCTACCTACCTACCTACCTACCTACCTACCTACCTACCTACCTACCTACCTACCTACCTACCTACCTACCTACCTACCTACCTACCTACCTACCTACCTACCTACCTACCTACCTACCTACCTACCTACCTACCTACCTACCTACCTACCTACCTACCTACCTACCTACCTACCTACCTACCTACCTACCTACCTACCTACCTACCTACCTACCTACCTACCTACCTACCTACCTACCTACCTACCTACCTACCTACCTACCTACCTACCTACCTACCTACCTACCTACCTACCTACCTACCTACCTACCTACCTACCTACCTACCTACCTACCTACCTACCTACCTACCTACCTACCTACCTACCTACCTACCTACCTACCTACCTACCTACCTACCTACCTACCTACCTACCTACCTACCTACCTACCTACCTACCTACCTACCTACCTACCTACACACCTACCTACCTACACACCTACGCACCTACCTACTTACCTACCTACCTACCTACCTACCTACCTACCTACCTACCTACCTACCTACCTACCTACCTACCTACCTACCTACCTACCTACCTACCTACCTACCTACCTACCTACACACCTACCTACCTACACACCTACGCACCTACCTACTTACCTACCTACCACATTATGCCTACCTACCTACCCCCCACATCTACCTACCTACCTACCACCCCACCCCACCTCACACCTACCTACCTGCCTATCTATCTACACACATACACACCTACCTACCTAACTACCCACCTAACTACCTACCTACCTACTCAGGCAACATTGTCTCAACTACAGGCGGTACAGGAACAGATGACGATGTCAAAGCAGTCAGAATCGGAAAGATAACAAGACAGGTCTTCCTTCATTATTCTGAAGCCAATCAGTGTGGAGATCTACTGCACTGCACTACACTGCACTGCACTGCACTGCACTACACGGCACTGCACTGCACTGCAC